TTTGTTATTGTAAAAGTTTTATTTTAATTAGTTTTTAATTAAATAGAGCCCTCTGGCATTGAAGGTGTTTATGGGCGGCGGTATTCCACCTGACTGTTTGCCCCCTGTTCTATAAAAAAAAATACACACGTACATTCATAATCTTATCAATATACAGATTTTAATTTACAACGACTATATTATATCCAATACATTTTATGAAATAATCTTTTTAATCAGTCCAATTTTTAGCTTGATATAAATTGTTATAAATAAAAACAATAATTTCAAAATGCAAAACTTTCTTCTACAATATTAGAGAAGATATTTATTTGTAGAACTTGGATACAATAGCCCATGGGTAAAACATTATTTTTGTAGATATAACAATGTGGATGTTACATTATTATTCCATGAACTTTTTTTCCATGACGCCGGTCCATTTTTTGGTCCATTTTTTTACCCCCTTTTCTCTTATGCCTTAAAAACGAATGTATTGACTACATGATATAAAATCATTTTCAAACTCAAACTCAAACTCAAATCTTTATTGCATTCCTTATGTACATAATTTATTACAATAATGAATAAGGACCTTGGCTAGGCACAGCAATGTTATGAGAGGGCATGCTTTATTATAGTTCATTATATTCTTATACATTCCTATTCTTATAAGATACATTATTTATTTGGTATATTTACTTTGGTTTAACGTTGCGAAAAGGTACTTAACATTATTTATAAACTTAACTTTTACAAAGAAATTAAAATCTATCAGTCAGATACTCTGTAACAGTGTAATATCATTTCTTATATAATAATTCCTTTAGAAATTTGGTAAACCTCAGGTTATTTGTTTCATTCTTCAAATTTTTTGGTAATTTGTTATATATTTTTATGGAGGAGGTCAATGGTCCTGATTGATGTAACTTTAGTCTGGATGTAGGTGGAATCAGTTGGTTTTTACGAGAAGGTATTTATGAGTAAAGGGTTTTTCTATCTTCCCTTTTTTATACATATTAGGATATTTGCGAATAAATTTACATGCTTCAAGTATATATATGCCAGGTAGAGTAAGGATATTGTTCCGAATGAAGTGGGGCTTGCATGAGTCAGTATTTCCTATATTAACTAAAATTCTCAGAATTTTTTTTTGGCTTGTAAATACGGCAGTGGCATCTACACTGCTACCCCATAAGATAACACCATAGCTTAACCATGAGTAAACATATGCGTAGTAGGTGACTAGAGCTGTTTTCATATCTGTGGATTTTTTAATTTCGCGAAGTGCATATGCGAACCGAGACAGTTTTAATCTAACCTTATTTACGTGATATTTCCAGTTTATATGGGAGTCTATGTCTAAACCTAATAGAGTGAACTTTTGAACCTTTTCTATGTTATAACCATTATAACATAGAAAAGGTTCAAAAGAGAGTTTTTTGATAGGGGTGGAATGTCATTAGTTTAGTTTTTTCATAGTTTATTTCCAGATTATGAAGTCTTAACCAGCTATCCGCTTTATCTTTAGTCATTTGGAGCTTTGTATTTAATTCTAATTTATTTTCACCTGATATCAATATCGAAATGTCATCAACAAACAAAATACAAGGCTCATGCATCACTTTAGGAAGGTCATTTATGTAGATCAAAAATAGAAGGCATCCTATCACGCTTCCTTGAGGAATTGACGCTTTCAGCCTTCTACTTTCAGATCTAATGTGTTGAATTTCGCAAGATTTGTGATCGAAATGTTCTATTTCAACTTGCTGTTGTCTATTGAATAAATATGATTTGAACCACACATGAGTGTCACCGCGAATTCCAATATTGTATAGTTTATCTAATAGTATGTCAAATTGAACTTTGTCATATGCTTTCGTCATGTCGAGTAATAATCCTATTGCGTATTGTTTGTTATTAATCATGTCAAGTGCTCCTTGAATATATTTAAAGACGGACAAAGTGGTTGATCTATGTCTTCGAAAGCCGTTTTGGGACTTATCGAATAGTTTAAATTTTTCACAAAACTGATAGATGCGATCGCACATAACTTTTTCAAATATTTTTGAAGCTGTTGGTAAAAGGGCAATTGGGCGGTAATTATTGGGATTTGTTTTTAAATTACTTTTTATGAATGGGCTTAACTATAGAAATTTTCAATAAGTCTGGGAAAATGCTTTCACTAAATGATTGATCTATTAACATACATAGAGGCATGGTCAGCAGTTCTGCACATTCTCTGAAGAGAGTTGGGGGAAGTTCGTCAATTCCATGACTATGTTTGTTTTTGAGGTTTTTTGATATATTAAATATTTCTAGGGGTTGCACAGGACTGAGAAAAAAAGTATGCTCTGCTTGATATGAAGAATGGCGAGCGTGCGATAGTGACGGTGAAGAAGTTACAGTCTCTCCGATAGTTGCGAAAAAGTTATTGAAGGCGTTAGCTACTTGTTTTGGTTCTGTATATTTTACGTTGTAAATCTGTAGTTCTACATTATGTTTTTCCTTAAATGGTTTTTTATTCGCCCGCTCATTTATTACATTCCACATTGTTTTTATGACATTATTAGACTTTTTCATTTTTTTTATGTAATTAAGTTTTTTGGAATTATTTACAATAGTTTTAAGTAGCTTTTTCATATTTTTTATAGTATTCTGATAGTATTTTTTTATTATTTTTTAATATAAATGTTTAATACTTTATTTTTAGATGACCTTTTTATACCTTTAGCCAGTTTTTTTGGTGTAGTTTTGAGGTTTATTTTTGTTTTGGGTATACATTTATTTAAAGTATTTGTCTCATGTTATGAAATGCATTATAGTTTTCATTTATATTATTATTTTCTTTAATTACATCACACCAATTTATTTCAACAAGTTGTGACTTAAAAAGGTTTATATTTTTATCATTATATAATCTTTTAGTTATAAACCATTTTTTATTGTTTGAGAGTTTTGGGATTTTAATATTTAAGACTGTAGATAGATGATTTGTAAATCCGAAGTCCTTAACAGGGGCCTTAGTCAAGATGCCTTAACAGTAGTGTATGTAGAACGTCAAAAACTAAATTTGTATGAAAACTTTTCGACACGAACTGTCATTTCCATACAAATTAAGTTTTCGACTTTCTACATACACTACTGTTAAGGCATCTTGACTAAGGCCCCTGATATGTGTAAGTTTTTGTCAATGAAATTTATAAATATTAGATCTAGACATGTTGATGAGGTTTGTGTAAAGTGTGTTGCTTCCTTAATGTGTTGGGTTAATCTGTTTTCTAGCATAAGTTCTAAAAATTGTGTAGTTTTTGGTGTATTTTCGAGCATGTTACATTTACTAACAATATCAAATTATGAATTCAAATAAATTTTAATGATTCGACTTTAAGAAGCCGTTTTAATCTGTTTGCAAATACAATTAGACCATTTTGAATAGTTAACAAGCTAGAATATAACAGTTGTTTAAAAGCACACCTCGAGATTAGATTCTATGAATGTAATTTGGAAATCTAGATCAAACATTATAGACCAAATAACCATAACTTTAAAAACAAAACTCACTCGTATCTGTAGTTTCCGAGTCCAATGTTATCTACGTCAATGCGCAAATTGAGTACTTCGGTAGGGGAATAGTAGTGATGTTTGGTTTTCCAGTATTTGGATGGGACGGCTGCTCCCGCCACTGTGGCGATGACAATTGACAACGGCCAGAACAATAATCTGTACTTAATAAAATGTAGTGTTATTTATGGAAATATCCAACAATGTTCTACTTTAAAAAAAGTTTACAGTTCTAGAGATTAAATTTTTTTCAATATAAATAACCACCAACAACAACAAAAACACCAACTTCGAAAAGTTAAAGTTATAATATAATAATTTATGAGTCCTGAGTTCTTTTCAAACTTAAATTTGTCGCAAGACCATCTTGACATGTCAACATGACAACGGAATCCGAACAAATATTATTTTAAATTAATAAACTTATACGTCGTCACAAAACTTATTTAATAATAATTTTAAAATATTTACCAACTTGTCTCATATTTGGTGATCTTCGGAGGTGAATATAAAACTATTCTATTTATTCACCTCCTTTTATATCAAAAGTTGAGATTTATAACGTCCAAATCCCGTCACCTTTTGTTTTTTATAAATAACACATTGCTAACTGGTCAAGGTCAGCTTCTACGATGTCATAGTGCATAACATTTATTGTATGTTAAATAACGACATTCACCTAACTTAACGAGTACCAGCAATGCCCCGCGGCTTTACTCGCGTAGATACCGATCTTGTGGCAGTGGAAAGTCGGACTGTAGATATATTTTTGTTATCATAAAAGTTTTCAGATTATTAGATTCACACTAACATTTGAGAGCCTTCTGGGCTCATGGGCAGCGGTATTTCTCCTGGCCGAGAGCCCTCTGGGCTTATGGGCAGCGGTATTCCTCCTGGCCGTTTGCCCAATAATTAAATACACACGTACATTCATAATCTAATCAATATACAGATTTTACTTTACAACGACTATTATATAATGCATTTTTAAATTCGTAACATAATTTACTTAGAATTTCCGACATTTGTAAATTTAAAAATACTGTACAGGTATTGAGAAATTCTTGATTCTATTTGAGATCAAGAATTTTTCAATAGTAATTAAGAATATTTTTTTAAATTTCTATCCAATTTTTAGTTTGATAAATTTTTTAAACAAAAACAAAAATTCAAAATGCAAAACTTTCTTCTATAATATTAGACAAGATATTTATTTGTAGAACTTCAGTGTCTTAGAACTTCCCTATACACAACATTTGACGTAGTTTTGTTTCGTGGCAGCAAAATAATTTCATGTTTTTTAGGTCCGACTCGGGATAGTAATCCAGTCAAAATAGACAAAAATAAGTCATAACTTAGCCAAAATTCGCATAGAGCTGAAAATTGGCAGAGACGTTAAATACATCATTATAAATGAAATGTCAAAAATCCCCTTCGATCCTACTTCTGCAAAAAATTTTATTCAAGGTCAAAAGTACAAAATTAAGGTTTTTTCCATTTTTCTCGAAAACAGTTAGTATTATCGTGAAAATAGATCAGACAAAAGTTGTAGATCATACAATTTTCTACAAAAATGGTTCAGTCACTTTTTCTCTTACGACTCACCATTCATGAGATATCGCGGTTTTAATCATTAGAAAATTCATATTTTACATAATATGCACTAAAATGCAGTCTGTATACGTCACCGGACGTTCAATATAAATGAAAATAAGAAACTATTCGTTTGTGTTACACAATAAAACTTGTATAAATTAAATGAGGATTTTAAAATATAAGACTACTCTTGCAAATACTCACAATAAGTCTCGCTTCATTTTAATGCTATGTGAAGAATTTACAGCTGCTGGTATTTTAATAAAACAAGCTGATAATGATGCTGATGTCCTTATAATTGAAACAGCAATAGAACAATGGAAAAGTTCAAATACAACTGTCGTTGTTGGGGAAGATGTTGATTTGTTGATATTACTGACTGCACGGACTCCAAATGATAAAATTATTTACTTTTTAAAACCTGGGAAAGCTCAAGTACAATCAACAATATATTCATCACAAAGTCTGACTGCATATCCGAAATGTCAAGCTCATTTTTACATGCAATAACTGGTTGTGATACTACATCAGCAATTTTTAAAAGAGGTAAAACATCAGTATTTAAATTGTTTGAAAAACGTAATGATTTAATTCATTGCGCAGAAGTATTCACAAAGATTGACTCTTCTCCACACGACATCGTTACAAATGGAATTCGTTTTCTTCTTGCAATGTATGGTGCTCCAAAAAAAATTGATTCCATAGACAAATATAGATATTTGAAGTTTGTAAAATCTGCATGGAACAATAAAACAGTACAGTTGTCTTGTCTGCCTCCAACATCTGCTTCTGCCTTTCAACACTTGTATCGTGTGTATTATCAAGTTCAAGTGTGGCTAGGCAATGAGCTGGACCCAGAAGAATGGGGTTGGAAATTAACAGATAATTATTTGGAGCCAATTCAAACTTTACTCCCGCCTGCTCCAGAAAAACTACTTAATACTATTTTTTGTAAATGCAAGACGGATTGTAGTAAGAATTGTGGCTGTCAAAAAGTAGGATTATTTTGTTCACCAGTATGCATCAATTGTCAGGGTCAGACTTGCTCCAATATTGAAACAAATACAACAGATGAAGATATTTATGATATTAATGATGAGACAATTGATGCATCCCTTTTCTTAGAACAGCAAACAGAAATTCTGCAAGAAGAAGAGAATGAAGACGAAAAAATAATTGTTGAAGTAGAATTAGACAATTATCTTATATAATGACATGTAGAAAAAAAACAACCTATTCCACTTTAATCATTAGCAATATTACTATTCTTTCAATTAATAGGATACGATCTGATCAAACTTTCTTTATTACAATAGATCGTGGAGTATACCTACTGGGAAACCACGTTAAAAAAAATGCGCCAAGTACATTACCTCATAGGTGGTGCGGAAATGTGTGCATATTATGTAGAATATGAATTTTCTAATGATTAAAACCGCGATATCTCATGAATGGTGAGTCGTAAGAGAAAAAGTGACTGAACCATTTTTGTAGAAAATTGTATGATCTACAACTTTTGTCTGATCTATTTTCACGATAATACTAACTGTTTTCGAGAAAAATGGAAAAAACCCTAATTTTATACTTTAGACCTTGAATAAATTTTTTTGCAGAAGTAGGATCGAAGGGGATTTTTGACATTTCATTTATAATGATGTATTTAACGTGTCTGCCAATTTTCAGCTCTATGCGAATTTTGGCTAAGTCAAATGCCTATTTTGACTGGACTATAGGCCAACATACAATAGTCTATAGTGGATAGCCCATGGGAAAAACATTATTTTTGTAGATATTGATACGTTTTAGGGATGTGAAAAAAATAATCGATTATTAAAAAAATCGATTAAAATCGATTTTTTTTACGCGATTTTTATATTTAAAATAATCGATTATTTTTATAATTGAAAATCAATCATAGTCGAGTTTTTATCTGCCACCTCCCGACATTATGTCTGGTATTTTATAACCCGGACCTCGAACTATTCGGGATATTCGATATACAACGATGTTTATAATGCGATACATTGAATCCGATTCTTTGAAGATGTACTTGATGCATTGTTGTTTTTTTGTAAAACATCGAAAGGATGATAAAACCCAGTTAATTTTACAAAAACTCAAGTTTGAATGGAACACTATAATTTAAAAGTAAAATAAATTTTTTCAGCAGCACAAGACTACATACAATTAAAAAGACAACAAAAATACTGTAATGTGCTACTGAAAAGGCATAGACTCAGCATTTATCAAAATTCACCTAAAATCTACAAAACGAGATTAAGTTAATTTCGATTTTGATTATTCTTAAACGTTAATTTGGGTTTATAATTTCTATTGTTTATATTTAATTTAAAAAAAAGGGTGCGTGTACTTATGTACGCGCGTAAGAAGTTATACTTCTTTGGCATTATTAAAAATAGTTTGGCTTTGTTCCACCTCCAGTTTTTGATGTTTCACAGCGATAAGATGACAACTCTTTTTTTTGTATTCAATTTAGTGCACTTACACTGATTCATCAATTGTTTTTTGTCTCTTGTCCTTATATTTGCTAGAGAAAAATTACATGTTTTGATTAAACAATGTGGTAATTTTTTTAATCAAAACATTACTCGATAATAATAATACAAACTGATAGTTAACCTCAATTGTAATGAAGCACTTAGGAAGGTTGATGAGCACAGTTTTTTCACAAATATTAATTAGTATTGGTTTAAATATTCAATTTAAATCACTTCTGATTATATATAATTCAAAAAAGCATTGCTAAATTTCTTTGAAAAAATAATTAAAACTCCTTTATTTGTTTAAAAGGTAAATGACAAATGTCATTATGGTCATTCAAAATTCTTGGCATACAAACTTCACGCATATTCTATTTCTTTTTTACTTGTAGATTGTCTTATTCCTATCTCGCTCGCGCACGCTATAATCACACTCCTAATTTTGTGTCACAGGTGCGCGCGCATCGTAAAATTTCACTCTCATAAATTTTTCATAACGCGCCTAAAGAAGTATAACTTCAAAAAAACATGAAAAATAAAATATTTAGGGTGTTTATTTTGAAATTAATTCAAAAGTTAGGAAAAAGTCGATTAATAAAAAAAAACGATTATTTTTTAAAGAAAAATCGATTATTTATTAATCGATTTTTCATGCTAAAAAAATAATCGATTAATAAAAAATCGATTTTTTTATGCAGAATGTCACATCCCTAATTATTACGTTCTGTTTCTGTACATTTGATTGTTCTATCGTCAATTGTTTCCACAGCGCACGCCAAAACAGATTTTATGGAAAAAAAATTGACACCTTGGATTATGGGTATTATTGCATTTTTGGTAGGAGTCCCTATTTTTTTAAATGATATATACGACTCATTAAATAAATTATTTATAAAGGTATTGAGATGACTAATTTATTTATATACATATTTTCTATCAGTAAGTACTGTAAATAATTGATAAAAAATCCACATCTAAATTATATCTAAACTCAACTCAAAAAGATATCGTCGTGACAGGCTTTGTCTAAATATTCATTATTTTCATTTGACTCGTATGTCAAAAGCGCAGATCGTCGAAAAGTTATGATTTTGAATGAATAATGAATATTGACAACTGACTCTGAAGTTTGACAGACTACAATGCGTCGCATGATACCTACGTTCTTAAAAAAATAAATTAACTAGTATTTTGAAATTAAACAATGTTTTTATTAATTAAGTAGTTGTGCATTTAATAAATGTTTTAAGGAAATTACAACTTCATTACAATATATTAAACAGTAATTCAACAATAACTGAGTTTAAGAAAATATGCCGTGAAAAATGTTATGATGGCTACGTTTGAAAATAGACTCAGTCGAAGAAAAGGTAAATATTCGCCTTTTTTAATATTTCATAACAACATATTTTTATATCTCTGAAATACATAAATGTAATTATTTCAAGTAGTTATCTTTCAAATTTTTTTATTGTTATTTAGTGTAAACATTAATCAATAATTTTCAGGCAAGCCTGGTGGTGATTCATTTAGGTTAGACACTAAAAATAAAACACCTGAAGAAAATATTATTGATATCATTCAAGGTTTATATTTAAAAAAACACCATGAACCTTCACCTACTACCAAGAATGTTCCTACAGAATTTAGGTCAGGTTTGCGGACTACACAAAAATGTAGCTCTGAAAGTATTCGAGTCTCATATCTCACTGCATTGGTTCATTTATGCAAAGAACATAGAAATAATTTAGGGTTTACAACTGATGAGTTAATGACATGGTAAGTTATTTGTTTTATTGACTAGCTTTTTTAACATCACATTCATATTCTTGGGTTTACCCAAGAATATTAATTTGAAAAAAATCCTGTACAACACAAATTATAAAGTTGAATGACTTATAACTAGCTGGGATTTAACTTGCAGTGTTTAGCGTATGCTAAAGAAATATTGTAGAACCTCAATGGATAAAAAAACATATTAGTGTAAAGTTAAGTTAATTCAAGTGTAAAGTTTTGGATAAAAAACTAAATTAACTTAATGAAAAATATATGTTGTAAGATTTTGTCTCTAAAAGATGTAAAGGTTAAGGGTGGGTAATCTAAAATATATATAATGAAATAATTTAGCATTATTTGTGAATTTATATATTAATTTGCTTAGATCTTACCCTACCAGCCCTGTTATTAACAATAGCTGAGTGGTTTTAGTTTTTGGTGGTCATTTACTAAGATTACCAGACTTTGTCAGAAATTTTGTGTTTTTTGGGCTTTGTTAGTCCCTAAACTATATAAAAAAATAAAAAAAAATATTGTAGAAGGAGAAATAAATAAAGAAGTATAAATAATATTTAATTACTGATACACTTTACTAAAATTTTGAATTCATCTATTGATGGAAGCATCTTAAATGTTTAATATACTATTATTTTTATACTATATTATTACTACTATAATACATGAAATTACCATGAATGTACCATTTTTACTTTATTATAATTTATTTTTTTTAGTATTCGGGTCAGTTTAGTGGACGAGTCCATGCTCATGAGGGCAACAGCCTTAAGAGTGCTAAGATACCTGATTCAAAATGACAGCGATGTTGCAACATTTAACTCTCTGAAACTGCCATACCTCATAATAAGGTAATTATTTTATGATTTAATATTTTTAACTTTACATATGCATTTATATATATCTCAAAATGTAATGCTTGGAACTTTGGTAACTTAATGTGAAAATTTCTGTATTAAATTATGTCGTAAGACATGTGCCCACAGCTAGGACTAACCTTCTAAAAAGGGCACATATTATTCGCCGTATTACATTAGTCAACTAATTACATAGGTATACAAATAACAGACCTATCTCATTGTCCGTTGAATGAACTGACAAGTTCTACTATTTGTTAGTGCCTATAATAATCAGTAAATTTTTCATGTTATAAATTTTAGCTTATTTTTCCTAATTAATATCTTATGCCTGTTTTTTATGCTTTGTTGATTTAGGGCCAATTTTTAGGACAAGATTGTGTTTCTTGTGAATAACTAAATGAATAAAAAATTAAATTGAATTTTATAAATGCTAAACTCTGTTTATTACTACTACTATTACCATAGTTTTGGTCCTCAAATTAACAAACATTAAACATAATGTAAGAGAGCAGTGAGCAGCAGTATAGCAGTGTTGGCCTAGTGGCTTCAGCGTGCGACTCTCATCCCTGAGGTCGTAGTACGATCCCCAGCTGTGCACCAATGGACTTTCTTTCTATGAGTGCATTTAACATTTGCTTGAACGGTGAAGGAAAACATCATGGGGAAACCGACATCGTGTGTCGTGTCAAGTCGACGGCGTGTGTCAGGCACTGGAGACTGATCACTTACTTGCCTATTAGATTTAAAAATGATCATGAAACAGATTCAAAAATCTTAGGCCAAGACCTAAAGAGGTTGTAGCGCTACTGATTTATTTTTTATTTTATTTTTAAACATAATGTAGTAACTTTCAAAGTTGATTGCTAATGATTATTGTAACGTGTAGGACATTATTGATAACATTATATATTACACAATATAGATCATCACATTCTTGAACGGATTTAAGTAATTAATTTAAAATTAATATTGATACCTCTGTTAGTTTTAACTTATTTTTTATCTATCTTTTTCTAGATCTATGGACTTAATGCTTCGCAATGAAGAGGAACGCGCTCAAGCACTGCGAGTGGTTCGAAGAGTTATCGCAGTGGTCGGGGGAATAGATCAGTCTATGAAGCGTTATCGAGCGGCTCATATTGACGAAGGGCTACTTCGTTGTCTTGCTTCTGTTGCTCGCGCGGGCAGCGCGGGCGATGGTTCCGGTGATAGATTGTCAAGACCCGCAATTGCTACACTTGCTGAAATATGTGAGTTAATTGTTTTTGAAGTTATTTCTTCTTTAGGCGCGTTATGAAAAATTGATGAGAGTGAAATTTTACGATGCGCGCGCACCGTTACACAAAATTACCAGAATGAAGTTAGTGGCGCATGTTGGCACGCACCGCCTCTGTTCACTGTGTATTTATAATTATAATATTTATCCACATGCTTTGAGTTTCTACATTTAAAACACGTGTTTTCATTATACAAGTGCGAATTTGTGCGTCTGAATTATAATCAGAAGTGATTTAAATTGAATATTTAAATCAATATTAATTAATATTAGAAAATAATAATAAATATATTATTAATAAATATTTATTTATTTAATTTTTCCAATGTAAACTGAACTTTATTGACTATAATGACTCCTTTTCCAGTCTTTGATTATTTAATTGTAATTAATTATTTGCATGCAATCAAAACTATTTTTAATAATGCCAATTGCCAAAGAAGTATAACTTCTTACGCACGTACATAAGTACACGCACCCTCTTTTTATATATATGTTGATAGTAAATATTGGAGCTGCTATACAATTCTGCTTCTAGTATTTTTTCACTTTCACTACACTTCAATAACACCATTAAAAAAAATCATCTAATTGTAGTTCTAAACAATTTTCGAATCCACTTCAACACAAAAAATATTTAAATCGGTCCAACCATTTAGGTAAAATTTAATTATACACTTACAGAAGAATTGTATATGTACAGAAATACACAATTTTATAACGAATGAGAATTACACGTCATAATTGTTTAATCGGTTCTCGTGATATCCTAAAATTAATAATTACCTGTATGAAAATTAATTTAATGGTTTACGATTCGAAATCTTAATATATATAAATTACGCGTCACGTTGTTTGTCCGCTATGGTCTCCTAAACTACTTAACCGATTTCAATCAAATTTGCACACCGTGTGCAGTTAAAAGATAGGATAGCTAGATATATAATTATGTACGTGTGTATGTCAGTGAACTCCTCTTAAACGGCTGGACCGATATGAATGATTTTTATTGTGTTTGGGTGGAGCCTTAGTTGATTTAGATTCACAAATTAGCCCGGCAGTTGGCACTGCAGGCGGTACTTCATACTTTGCTTAATATCCTAATCGCTTGAAATATAATGCAGGACAACGTCTGTCGGGTCCACTAGTTATATATAAAGAGTTAAGCATACTTCAAAGTTGCGTGCGCGCACGCACAGATACGTGCGGAACGACCAGTTCTTGTTGTGTGCGAGTGTCGATTGAAATATACAAAGTTAAATTTGTAATGTAAATATACGACGTTTATGTAAACGTGATTTTTTTAAGGTGTATTGAATCCGGATCTATTTATATCCTGTGGTGGTGTGACCGCAGTAACTAGACATTTGGCCGAATGTGCGACACCACGAATGGCTGAAGCGCTCTGTGGAGTATTATTACATATAATAAATGATCCAAATTCAAGAAATAATGCCAGAGTCGATTTGACATGCCTTAATTCTCCATACTGTGACTTCCATTTTAGACCGGCTGGGAATGATACTAGCAGGTGAGTTTTCTTTTAGTTTTCATTTAGTATGGAGAGGAGATATCATTATATATAATAAAAAAATAATAAGTAATAGGAGGAATCTAAATGTGTAACCAAAGCAACAATTAATATCAACGGTCAATTGACTCGATCAGAACATTCCCTCACATATTTATTTTTGAAGTGAAACTTCTTTATCGAGGTTGGAAAAAAATTTAGTGTAACATTTTTTCGTTACGCGTCACATTTTTCGGTTACGCGCCATGTTGCTTTTTGAAGTCAAACTTCTTTATCGGCGTTGGAATGAAACTTCTTTACCGACGTATGGGAGAAATTTTGTAGCAAATCGTCACGTTTTTCAATGATAGTAATAATTCTATCACAATTAATGAAATTCTATAATAATCTTCGTAGTAATAAGGTAAAATGAAATATTTGTATTCATGTCTATGATAATAAAAGCCTTTTGTTAAACTTTATCTAATTTAACGAATTTCTGTAAATTTGCATATAGTAGATCATTTTTCGAAAAATAAGATCATAAAGAAGTTTCACTTCTTACGTGTGTACACCTAGTACACGCACAATTTATTTTATTACAGAGATGAACGCGAAATGCGTTTTACATGTAGTCGGCTAGCGTTACTATGCGTTTTGCGAAGTTGGCCGGGGCTCTTGCATTTTTGTCATCCGCAAGCAGCTGGAGGCTTGAAGGCGTTGGTCGCAGCTCTCTATCTACCACGGTTGGAGGTCCGAGTGAGTATACAAAGGGTTAGAGAAATTAGGTCCAAATTAATTATGTAATGAAATATCTTTGCGAACAAAACTTGTTTTAGACTTTAGCTAGTTTCGACTTAGCGTCCTTCGAAAAACGAGCGTACAAATGCTGTGAAAATTAAAACCGCTAGTTCGAGACTTCAAATTAACTTTACATCTTTTAAATCTAGATATTTTCAATATCTCATTCTTACTTCATGTTACTTCTAGAAAGCAATCCTCGATCTGCTGTATGAGTTAGTGGGATTGCGTCAGCCTGAGTGGACTGACGAGATTTCTGTTGCCTTGGATGCTGTGGATCCGTCAGATTTTCAGGTGAATATAACAGATTAATTTATTTTATTAAAAAATTTATCCATAAAACACTATTTAGACATTTAATGTCACTAAATCAAGCCGATTTAACACACATACTTCAGTTACACACACAAATACACACCCACGCAATCTCTCTCTCATATCATTGTTAAGTCTGTAAACCTTCGAATTGGCGTTTCGATTTTAAATTAAGATTTTGTATTAAGACTCAATATTTTTTTTTATTTATTAAGCCTTTTTTTCTGTGACCATACCATACCAAAAAAGGCATTGATATGGTTTTTTTTTTAATTTTAGATAAATACCTTGATTTTATTTTTGTATTTTTTATACAAATGAATATAGAAAAATATAATAATAATATATATAGTTTTTAATCTAGTTTGTTTTTTACTTTTAATGTTATTTTCTCTTCATCATTGTAATGTTTCTCTTTAAATGTTGTGCACACTTGTTATTGATGCACATGCATGTCCATATCTTGTTTTCTATGTCATGTGTTCTATGTAATAGTGTTTGTATGTGTTTCGTTAGTGTGCCATTTAAAAAAAAAGTAATTTTCAGGACTCTTGGCGTTTAAACGAAGACTTTGTAGCGGCCGAAGGAATATCAATCCTCCCCCACTTGGGCGCCACTGGGCCCGATATAATTGAAATTCATCTTGCCCTCTTGCTTCAGTGCTTTCTAGAGGTAAATATATTACATGCTTGTTGCGTTTTATTCCCTCCCAATTATTTAAATTTCATAAATTGTATATGGGAATTTCTACGGCTATTTTTGAAATTAAAATTTGTAAACTAAAATTTTTTTGCTAGACGAAGATTGTAGCGTTGTACAATTTTAAGATACGTCAAAAATATTTTTATCTGTTTTATCGCGGCAGGAATATAGCAAATTGAAAAAATAGAATTGAGAATTTGAGAGAATTTATTTATCTTATACATACATTTCTTTTTTTAAAAATTACTTTAAAATAAAAATACTTTTAAAAAAATAAAAAAAAAAAAAAAAAAAAAAAAAAAAAAAAAAAAAAAATATAAAGAAAGAATAAGTAGCGCCTTATATATGTCACCGTAAAATTGTAAATACCGTTAGGTTGTAATCTATCTCGCGAGATTGTGAACTGTCGAAAGATTGTGAAGCTCAACGTACTGCTTACAATATAACGTATTCGGTAGATTGTAATCTATCGAAGTGAAATCGTCACATTGTGAAACGGAACGCACCTCGCGCGCTGATTGGTTGAACGGCATACATTCGACAACAAACGAATTAACAACAAATATGGTGGCGCGGGGCATATGCCGTTCAACCAGACTCAGACTAACACGCCTATATAGTCTGTCTCACTTTAACTCGTACCGGCTGCACCGGCCGCCCTTACGATACGTCACCGATCTCTTCAGAGAAATGTGAATACGCAGTATGCGTTCTATCCCACTCTAACGCACCTGCGCTACGTCACCGATCACTTTAGACCGATGTGAGACGCAGTATGCGTTCTATCCCGCTCTAACCGCACCTATTACGTCATCGTGTGTTAGGTTTATTTTCGTTACGGAATTTCTTGATTCAGGCCCCGCGCTCAAAGCCCGCGATAAAAATGTATGCAATAGCTTCAAATATCTATAAATTTCTTGAATATTTTCAGGCTGGTCTCTTGGATGGTTTAGCTGAAGTGATTGTAACGAGTGATACATTTATCTCGGTCAGGGCGACAGTATTATTAGGTCAACTATTACACTTAGTCCACATCTTGATACCCCCTCAAATATGCAACATTACACCTGCACTTCCCATTATTAGTGTCGCAGGCTTCAGCTGGAAAGCCTCAAGCATTAGCAGCGGTCGCAGCGTTGCAAAGACTGCATTCTATGCTAGAAGCTCGTCCTGCCAGCAACAGTCTCTTCCTAGACCACATCATAAAGTACTGCAGTGGAGCATATAGACCCAAAACAGACGTCTCCAAGAGCAGAAAAGAGAAGGACAACGCCAGTATGAAGCCGAAATACGTCCAGAAAGATAGTATGGAATTTCTGAACGATTCGGATGAAGGGGAACCGAAGCGGCATAGTGTTGGATCTAGACCGGACGTGGCGTCCAGAAATGTTAGTGCGTTAGTGAAGAGTAAAAGTGTTAGTTCCCGGACTAGTGCCGCAGTGAGTAAAGTGACTAAATCGGCTAAGTTTTTTAGCTTGTTTGAACGGGATAGTGATAATTTGATTAGGTCCTCGCTTGTTATGCAGAATAAGGATGGGAATACGTGGAATTGGGAGGTTATACGGACGGTTTTGAAGGTGAGTTGAAAGTCAGTCATTTCTTTAGTAATTAGCTATTTTAAGTTAAGGCGTTCAAGTAATACGTAACGAGTTGGGGGGGGTACTGAAAAACATTACGGCGAGTTACATGGGGGGGGGGGTGTCAATAATCTCCAAAAATTGCGTTACGTAATACTTGAACGGTCCCTAATTCATTATGTAGTAGAGTTTAAAATCACACAACACAAGTTATTTCGACGTTAGAGTTAAATTGAGTGACGTAATATACAATTTACACAGGATTTGAAAATATTAGTCGATTTAGGACTCAAGAAAAGATCAAGATATGAGAAGATCGTACCAATCCTTAAACGGTCGGCAGCGCACTCGCGAGCCTTCTGGCATTGAGAGTGTGACATTAGATAAACTTTACATTGGATTTGAAACTAATAGTTGACTTCAAACGTTGTGTAAAAAAAAATGGCGACTAAAAAGAGTGGCGGAGAGTTTATTGCCAGTTCTTCTCATCCGATCTACGCCCTTGATTTGAGAACTGGCAGTAAATGTAAAATTAGAAGCATTAATATGTATTTCCTTATTGACGAGTCATAACTGTACATTAAGTTACCTATTTGATTAATCATCGACGGCTCATTGGTCTAGTGGTTAGTACTGACTGCGAATCCATGGGTCCCGGGTTCGATTCCCGGCTGAGACAAACATCGATGTGATGAGCATTTGGTGTTGTGCTTAGGTCTTGGGTGTTTAAATATGTATTTATATGTCTATCTATAATATGTATGTATATCCGTTGCCTAGTACCAATAACACTAGCTTCACCAGCTTAGCATGGGACTAGGTTAATTGGTGTAAATTGTCCAATCATATTATTATTATTATTAAAATGATTTTTTACTTTTTTAATGTTTTTTTAAATTTCTAATCATTTTTTACAGGAGTCGGATACAATAATACTTAATCTAAACGATAGTGGTCACAAGGCATGGGCGGGTCGTATCATAAACTATTTGAAGCCGTCCTCCAACAAATACTCACATACAGACCTGTCAACCAACTGTAATGGACATTCAGCCACTCGAGCTGGTTGTCAATTGATAAGGCATCTTTTAAGGCATAATGATGTAAGTATATTATTGAGGGTATACTTCTTTTGGCGCGTTAGGAAAAATGATGAGCGTAAATTTTTTCTATTGTTATTGTCGTTTTTTCTACAAACGTAGAATAAGGCGAAACGCGTAGAATAACTTCTAACGCGTGTACATAAGTACACACAGGTTTTTTGAAGTTATACTTTTTTAGGCGCGTTATGAAAAATTGATTAGAGTGAAATTTTACGATGCGCGCGCACCGTGACACAAAATTGTCAGTATGAAGCATGTATGAAGTTTTTTAATTAGGTTAATTGTTCCTATGTTGCTAAACTGCAAATAACTGCTATCTATCTATTGTAATATGGAAACTATTATACTCTTATCTATCCGTGAGTAAATGGAAGTTGAAGGCTATCTATCTCCCTACAGGTGAGAGTGAGATCAAAAATCAACAATTTATTATTAATTTAAATTGAGTGAACTGAATTATATCTTGATTATATCTTGATATGGACTCTTAAACTACCGAACCGATTTCAATCAAATTTGCACACCGTGTGCGGTTTGATCTAACTTAAAAGATAGGATAGCAATCTCAATTTATACCCGCAATATTATTTTATTGCAAAATATTTGTTTATTATTTGATAGTCACAATTCTAACAGATGGCGCTGTGTAGAAAGTACCAACGTTTCACATAAGCTACAATTTAATGGCATAGCCACCAATAAATCATGGTGGTCTCCATGACTGATGTTCTACCGTTTCCCTTGAATAGTTTACTACTATGTAATATAACAAAAACCTTAGGCACAGCAAAGCTTGGCCGGTCTGCTACTAAAATATATAACTATATTATATGTTTTACTAGCAGACCGGGTACAATGGTTATAATGGGTACGTTTGAAGGCGTCTGAATTTTCTAAAAGGGTTAAAAAAACGACGGGTTGCACTCCGGGAGTGCCGGCAGAAGTGAAATTTTGAATATTAACGTTGTGCATTTTTGACATTTTGGAATGGTTAGCGAATAATTTTGCACGAATTTCTTTATTTATCAGTATAAAAGTAGAATACAATATTTATTTATTGCGCTATCGTCCACAAACATGACAATTTATATTACATTAAATACGCCGCGCCAGCTGTCTACTCTCCATCCATCGTCAGTCTGACCAAATTGTTAATAATAAAGCTTTATTTATTTATTTATAATGTGTATGAGCAATTAACGTAAACATAAGTTTCACAAAAAAAATAGAAATTTAAAATTAAATAAAATACAATTAAAACTTTACACGTTTCGCAAACTTGAACCTTGATTTATTGACTTAAGGTCCATTTCACATGCATCAATGTATCTGAGGAAAGAGACTAATGAATTAAAACCGTAACTATATAGCACGAAGGTTCATAATCCTTTAAAACATCCGTCTTATGAATTTGTCCTGACGCGAGTTTTTTCCCATTCCAAAAAAGTGTAGAACGCCGCTAAAGAAGTTTTCACTTCAAAAAAGGGTTGGCTGAATTATAAAGGTTAACAAACCTTTTTGTATTGTTCGTTAAACTTACAAATGTTCTATTATTTGTTACTTATTATGTAATTATTTATATCCAATTTGTTGATATAAGATTACCTGTTTTGACGGTATTTTTGTAATATATATTGTTTTAGATGGATTCCCAAAAGTTCCTAGAAGAGTTATTCAACGATGTTAGCCAACAGATAGAAGCTATACAAACAGGGAAAAAGGCGCACGAGTGCCTCTTCAGTCCCCAACATATGTGTAACACTATGTGCCAAATGTACTTTCTGTTCATCGGCCAGTTATGTCACACCAATACCGGTTTACGGGTGTTCAAGATGTCCAAATTGTATGAGAAGTAAGTTCTGCCAGGGCTCTTACTTTCGTTTAAAATTTGTTCATATTTCACCGTCCATTTAGAAATTTATTTATCTTTTTTTATATTTATCTTTGATTCATTAGTTTTTTTTTCTAAATTATTATTATGTAATTCATGTCGACGGTCCAGTGGTCGGAGAAATTGTGACCAATTTGCGGTCCACCGTCACAATAAAATACTAGATTAAAAAAACCTCTACTATAAACAAATCTTTATTTTGCCTACCATTAACAGCCTATTGTTTCTCTTTTCTCCTAATTTATAATAATAATAGCCTCTTTTACTTTAACACTTAAACACATTTATATTTCCATCATCTCATTCTTTTTATGTATATGTGTGTCCTTTTTTGGCCTACTCCATATCCCACCATTCCTGTCTGCACTGTGCCACTCTCTGCCATGTACCACCGGCTGTTTCCCTAATTTGGTTTATCCACCTTCTAAATTGTCTTCCTCTTTTTCATTTATTGTACCTTGGGCACCAGTTTATTACTTTCTTGTTCCACTTTTCTGTCCCTCTTGCCATGTGCCCCGCCCATTTCCGCTACTTATAGCCTGGTTAATATAAGCAAATTACATTTCAGCCTCTTGGATTTAGCGACGAAAACACACCATAGTTGCTACGTTAAACTGGTTATATCGAGTCTAGATTATACGCTAGATGCGAGTCCGAGAGATATTCTGGCGAAAACCTTGACGTGCAATAACCAAGCGTCAAGGTTGTACGCGACGCAATTTTTAAACGTCCTCATACGTGCCTCGAGAAAGTCCCGGGATCTGATCCGGAAGAAGACGAAGTTGAAAAAGAATTTGCTTCAAGATATGTATTCGCGTGATGAGGAGTTCGAAGGTGTGGATATGGATACATGGGTGCTTCAGATGTTGGTAGGGCAGATTAAGGACGAGTCGAAGGTGGTTGTTAAAAATGCCCTCGCTATATTGGAGGAGGCGTATACAGTTCCTGTGAGTTGAATTTTAAGTAATTAATTAATAGGAAAGTTGATTTTTATATGATTATTAAGGAATTTAAAGAATGTAACTAAAATTATGTCGTCATGAATTGTAATTTTTTTACTCCCTTATTAGACGTGGATTGTGTTTGTTACCATGGTTACGCTGTTCCATATAAAAATAATGGTTACCATGGTTACAGTGCCAATTTTAGATTCATCATTCAGGTTTTATAAGGCTAATACGAGTCTAGAAATAGTTATTTTTTTCAAATTGTATTTACGCTGTTATGAAAAAATCAGTGCTTTGCAGCTTAGGCAATAAGATTGATTTAGTTTATATTTGCAGATTAATCTTATTAACCTGTAGGATAGTTTCCCGACGTGGGGCCCAAGCCTCACAGGGGGAAAATTTAATTGTTAAGGGAAAATATACGAAAACTTATCAAAATTATTTGAAATTTTATTTTCAGTTTTTCTTATGATTTAAAATCTCCTTACTGTGTTTTGTTAACAATTTCCCAGTAATTTTATAAGTGAACAATTAAATTTTTTAACATAAATAAATTATGTTTGTTAGTAGGGCATAAGAATTTTAGAATGGCTAAGGTGGGGCATTGCACAAAAAAGGTTGAAATACACTGACCTGGGGCATAGACAAAAAGATTTAGTACAAAAGCGGATTCTGTAAAATCATAGACTTAGAATATCTTTAAAATATTTAAACGTTACACGTCTTATCGAGTAATTTTCAACAGATTTATCAAGAAAAGCTAATGTCACTACGAGACAGATTGGGTGAAAACTGTCAGTTGGATCGAGATGCGGAAGCCAAATGCGCGGAATCGGGTCCGGGCGGTGACCACGCCTACTTGCTCTGGCTGGGCGTGCACATGGCCGCCGCGAGACACGCCCCCCACGATCACGCCGTGGCGTTCATACACAAGCATCTCAATTATTGGGATAAGTCATATAATTACAGGTGAGATGTTCTAGAATTATGTATGTCGAAGAAATATCTTCACTCCATCGATATTGACATCGTCATTAACGGCTTTGGGCGTCACGTGGGTAAAGTGCGAAAACAAAAGACGAATAGGTAATTTCATTAAAATTAAACTAAATTTAAAAAATTTAAAAAAAAAACAGGGTACCGTTCGTCTAATCACAATCTTATAGATATAACTCGGTTCAACCTCTCATCACCACAATCCTCCACTGGATACTCAATCAGTACTGTCCCGCTTTCCCTGAACGCACTGTCCAAAGTCAAGAAGGCATTTGCTGTGCTCTGATTGGTCGTAACAATATAATATTTGACGAAAATTTGACTTTTCTCACTTTATTTATAATATCTATATTTACCAACTTCAAACCCCAAGTATCTTTATGAACATATGAATATGTGGTCTAGTATACATACAAATATTTGATATGACTATTGAAGTGTTTCTGGTCAATGTTAGCTAGTGGCGACTCACCCCAATTTATGCGCATTTAACGTTCGTACGGTGAACGAAAACATCATGAAACCAGAGTTAGACACAAAATGTCCACACCTACTTGTCTATTAGAAATGAGATCACGAAATAGATATAGAAATCTGAGTCCCAGAGCTTGTTGTGGCGCCACTGGTTAGTTTTAATGTTGCTTTATTATCGCTGCAATTTGTAAATAAAGGGACATCCCTTTATTTTTCAATATCTGGGGTTGTTATTTTTAATAGAATTCTAGGAGCTGGAGAGATATTTTGTCTAGTTTATTTCTTTACAAAGTGATAAGGACAAAACATTTTGTGTTTTTTAGGTACGTACGCCTAGTGGAAGCTGAAGTCCACGAAGCGTTAACATTAAGCGAGGGTATACGTAGATCGCGCGGGACTCGTCGTTCCGCTCGTCCGCCACCGCATATACTCGCCGCTCTCGCTATGCTCGCCGCGCCCGCTTCTGCCTCCGCTTGTGTTGCGGCTCCACCCTTCGCCCGGCCGTTGTTGGCTGCTGCATTACCTTCGCATTATAAGGTATAGTTTATGGTACATTTTTATTAGCACGGGCGTCGATAACACGTTAATACTTGAAGACTGTAAAACAATAATCATGCCTTGTTTGATTTTGTTTATTTAGTTTATATTTTTTTTTAATAAATAAATAAACTAAACTTAATTTTATGTAAAATTTAAATTACATGCATCTATTTACGTGAGAAGTTTTTTCTTATTTCATTATTTATTCACATTAATTATGCAACGTTGCTGCAGTTACCGTTTCAAGTGCTTAAATTATTTGATATGTCAGAGAAACAATGTAATTGTCAGCTGCCGCTGTCATTATATGTTATAGATCTTGTAATTTATCAACGTCAAAGAGAAATTAATTCAAAATTGTTAGTACTAGATAGTGGTTTACTGTAAATTCAAGATTCAAAACCTTTATTTTAACTAATACCAGAGAAAGTTTACAAAAAATATAAATGTATATAAAAAAAAAGTTCTTTAAGAAGGTTTAGTTGTCCTCTTGTGCCACAAAGGCCTCCTCCAGCTGTTTCCAGTGCTTCCTATCCCTGGCAAGTCTTTGCCACAGAGGACCAGTGGCTTTTTTAAAGTCATCAGCCCACCGCGCACATGGTCTTCCTCTCTTTCGCTTGGTGTTGTAGCGAGGTGTCCATTGAGTGACTTTTTTCGACCATTTTACTCTCTGGCCTCTGAGCAGGTGTCCTGTCCATCTCCATTTAAGCCTTTTGGTTAATTAACGGTTTTGAACTACTTTGACGTTGATAATTTATAAGCTCGGTGACATATGACAATGACATCTGACAGTAACGCCATTGTTCCGACATGTATAATTATGTTTTATAAGCTGCACAAAAATTGCTAAAATTTATGTTAATTATCTTTTATATACATTCAACTTTTTCTCAGACTTTACAGCGGAAGAACTGCTCAAATGAGCAAGAAGTGATGGATTTGAAAGCGTCTCTATGGGCAGTAGGCAACGCTGCTATCACACCCCACGGCTTACAAGTTCTAATGGGCCTCACTAATAACCTTCTAGAAGATTCTGTGCCCGTACACGTGGTACAACTAGCGAAATACTGCCCGGTCTATTCAGTGCGTGCGACGGCCTTTTACGTCTTGGGACTTATTGGAAGTACATATGATGGTGCTAATCTGCTTTCGGAATTAGGTAAAGTTTGTTTTCCTAAGAAAATTTGATTCAGCGGTTTTCCGTAACTTCATTTGGGTAGATATATTTACCCATATTACTTTAAGTTACTTTTAATAAGTTTTTTTAAAGACATTAAAAAAATATTGAATGTCCCGTTTTTTGACGATTTTTTTTATTGATGGTCGGTGTCGTTTTAACTGTTTACCACGCCTTAACTACTGGGAATTACAACCAAAAGTTATATTTAAACCTATCATCGTGACTAACTATAATATTTATTCATAGCATTCAGAACTATTTTTCAAATTCGTGTTATTAATCATAATTATCTCTAGCTGCCCCCGCGAACTTCGTTTCGCCTTTATATGATTAATTAGACTACCTTTTAATAGCTACTTACATATGGAACATTTTGCTATGCTACCTGTTATAGACTGTAGACTGTTCGCTTTTACGAAATAAAAAAAAAATCGCGATTTTTCTCTACATGAAAGCCTTCTTCAAAGTTAAAGAAATAATTTAAATTAAAATCTCGAATTAGTTCAGTGCTTTCAAATTCTGCTCTTAGAAACATATTTTTTATTACAATTTCTTGAAAAAATCTCAAAATATAGTCAATACACCACATTTATTATAGTCGAGGCATTATGAACTGACGCTTCGGGTCATAAATCATATTTATCATAATGGAGAGGTGTAGTGATGTGCGTAGCTTTTTTCTCGGGGTCAATTTTCAATTCTTATAAAAACAGAAACACGTGAATCACAGCCCGAACTTGAGCGTTGATTTCACCATTTAATTTCTTCAAAACGATGTTAGAAAATAAATACTCCATTGTGCGTATTGCGTACTCACGTACGTACTCACGTACGTACTCACGGCGCAGCACGGCTACTCAATTACTCAACGATCGATTCTACGCACTACTGACAAATTGACTTTGACACATTGATATCTTACAACCTGTAATATTTCTATGATATTGCGTGGTGTTGCCATTCTAAAACAAATGACATCGTGATCTTTTATTACATAAAATTAAATTTAAATAAAAGATACGACCCAAGTGCCTGAGAAAGGAGCGTCGACTTTACGATTTATTTGAATTTACAGGTTGGCTCTGTGTGCGTCACACGCGACATGACCAATTCCCCGTAATCGCAGACGAGAATTACCTCCAGAGGAGTGAAAAGGGCTACTTTGTGACGTCACCGCAACGAAACTTCGACATTGACCTAAGCGAGCATTCCGATCAAAGTACAGCAGAGAGTTATTCTGAAACCAGACTGAATCGGACATTGGGAGCCTCCATCGACGAGCGAGATGTGGTCGATCACAAAATGGGTTACGAATCGGATAAGAGGAAATCTCAAACTCTTCCTACCCAGGGTTGTTCCCACGAGAGGTCCTTGACGGAGTCCCGTACGGTGGATATTTTGAGGGATTGCTTGACGTACGAACGCAGTGGGAGGATGCATATGGAGAATAGGCTGTTGGGGAGAATGAACTCGCTGGAACATGAAGGGAGAGTTCGGAATACGAGCGAGAGCAGCACGAGCGGTGTCAGCAGTTGTGACTCGTTTTTGGGCAAATATGCTATTCCGTAAGTATTATATATTATTTAAAAAAAAAAAAAAGACGATGTGTTGGAAAAGAGATATGTTTTTGTAATAACGGTCCTTTATGGTTAAGGGGTTTTTTTTAATATAACAAGGCTGGCGTGTTGCCGGCCTTTTCTGACTACTTTAATGCAGTGAATTTTTTTTTATCGGCCTTGGTCGGACAATTTAGCTATAGCGACGTTAAATTCAAGTCCCTTGAATTTGAAAAATGACTTGAAATGAATTATTTGTAACAAATTGCTATTAATCCCATGCAGATATTGCGACCGGAATCGGCCGCCAGTCTCTGTTGTCTTTTGTTTACGCATGGTCAGCAAATGTGGAGACTTTTACTTTGTACTTTTAAACTTAAACATGAGATTATCAGTTTGACCTTTATTTATACTTCCAATCTCGAGAGCTGATTTTTATATATTAGTCCAATTTCCCGGGGACTTAGTGAACAGTCTAAGTATTACCAAAATCGAAAATCAATGTTTTTCTAAATTATTTTTGACTCAATCCATCCATATCATTGCATCCTAGCATTGTCCAGTATTTTAGATGGCTTAGCAACCGGTTTGAAGTACTGTTATAGCTTTCCTTAAAATCAAATACAATAAAAAAAAATAAGGTCTTAATTTCAAGATCAGATAACAAATCTTATAAAAAAAAATATAAAATCACCAAACTTAATCTTAAATAATACAAAAAAGCTAAAAATTAATAAATTGCGATGCGATACAAAAGAATAAGAACTACAAGAATTTCAAAAGTCACGATTGAGCAAGATAGGATATGGTTAAGAAATGTTTTTTACTACTAGTTCCCACATCAAGGTACCAAGGTACCCCATTTGGTGGTTGTTATTTATTAGGAATAATCTGTATTTTTTTTTTCATTTTTATTGAAAAAATGTAAATAAACTGTAGGTACAACCACCAAAAATAAACTATAAGTTTTGAATGGGTTATTGCATTTTTTGAGAGAGTTTATACTCTTGTCTCTCTTTTCCATTGTGTTCATGAATGAAAGAGATTATATTAGAAGCAAAATACAAATTCTGCCCTTTAAGTAATTTTCCTACATATCCATTTGATGTTTTAACCTTACTCTTGCTTTAAAGGGACCGTGTGCTGACTCTAAGTCCGATACCCAGTTCGTCAAGTCTGTATGGCATGAAAGGCACCACCGCCACTCATAGGCCGCGACCGCAAGAGACTCCACGACGGATTTCTACCTCTAGTGAGTATAAAATCTGGGTTCTTTATCGGTTTCAAAGTCTATTAAGTATCCATGATCTTTGACTTCGGGCAAACTCGCGTTTCTTTAGACATTAATATTTCGGACTAAGCGAATGGTGATTTGAACGCAAGAGCAATATGGGCCTTGTGGCTTGTGAAACAATCGATATTTCTTCCTTTCTTTAAAGGAAAATATCGCGAGGAAACCGGCATGCCTTAGGGCTTAGACCCAGAAAGTCCGCGGCGTGTGTTAAGCTCCTACATACTTCCCTACTAGAAACCATCAGAAATCCTCAGATTTGTGGTGGTTTCGTGGTCATTTGTTGGTAATTTATGGTGGTAGCGATAAACAAGACAGGTAGTGCCACTGGATTTTTTTTTCAGGATTTTTTCAAGAGTTAAAATAATAAGTTTAGTTCTAAAATTGAAAAAAGCTTGCAATATTTTACCTGTATAAAAAGTATAATATCTTTTATAACTACTTAAGGGAGCGTTCAAGTATTACGTAACGTATTTTTTTTCCTTTTGTAAAACGTTACGATGCGGGCGGGGATTAAATTACGCGTTCGTATAATATTTTTTTCGACTTACACGACAGTAACTAGGTGGTCACGAAACGTTTTACTATACTTGGGTACAGTACTGTTTTTGGGTACTGAATAACTTTACGGCGAGTTACATGGGGGGGGAGGTCCAATAATCTCCAAAAATTGCGTTACGTAATACTTGAACGCTCCCTTAAACATTTTTATATTCTGAACTTCACTAGGTTTCACTGCCCCCGATGTGGCCAGCTCTCCTCCGAGCCAGAAGGATATGAGTGGATATGCAACTATTCAGTCATTGAACAAACATAGACGGTACGTTTTTTTACAGGGTAACACCATGTTTTGCTAGCTTCAGTGTTCTAATCTGATAAAATATTTTATGACGTCAATCGTATGTCATTCATATTTTTTTTATACTATAGCATAAAAAATAACTAATCTAAGTTTAACAAAATAAAATAATTTATTACTATAAGGAAGCATGCAGTATTTTTCTTTTAATTTATGTATGTATATAAAAGTTGCAATATCTAGAATCCGCATTTAAAGACTCAAACTCAAAATTTCACTTATTAACTTCTAAGAAAAAAGATGTTAAATTGATTCTAATTTACATTTGCTACTAGTTCGCAAGTCAAGGGCGTAAAGCTGGCAAGAAACTCTCCGCCACTCTTTTTCATCGCCAAGTTTTGAGTTACACAAATTGTTTGAACTGGAGCAAATCTATCGCAAGGATTAGGATTATTTATAAAATTTTTATTGATTAATTTACGTTTTAATACGTTTACAGGGAACTTATTGTTTTTTTTAATACATGAGATAAAAATAATATTACTATATATTTTCGTACCAGGCCTCACGTATCAGAAGGTGCAGCAACAAGTTCCAGCGACATTGATGAATTGGTGTGGCTGTTACCAGACTTTAATAGACGTAAGCCGAATAAGCCCTACTCCTCTGTCAGGGAACGGTCCAAGTCTTATAGAGAGAAGATGGCGAAGATCAGGTAAGATTTGTCACAAAACTTTATCACAGACTCAGTAAAATTTGAAGGAAAGAATTTCGTCGCATAATTGAGTGTATTTTCACACATTTTGATGATTGTCAAATACCATCTGGAGACAACCACTTTGCGATACTAGTTAAATAATTTGGATGAGATTGACTGTTCATAAAAATTCGTTTGGCGTGTTGGGTCACACCTGTCGCAAAGTGGTTTTGTCTCAGGCCCCAGTTAGTTTATATAACTTTTAGAGTAGCATTTTAGCCTCTTCAGTCAAAGTAAAAAATAGCGTGCACTATATATTCTCTGTCATCATTTATAGAATTTATTAAAACTAAGATTCCTATAGTGACATTATCAAAGAACAAATCTGTAAAGTTTCATAATCATGATTTTATTAAAAAAAAATATTCAAAGAACAAGCCAGAGTCTCAAGTCAAGTTGGAACCGGAACAATTCGATTATTTTATGTTATATAAACTCAACAATGTGTCTTCCCCTTAAGACTGTAGTGTTAGTGCATTCGGACACTTTCTTATGTTGCACTCATGTAACAATTTATAAACAAATCTATAACACATTTACGTAATGAATGGGCCAAAGAATTAAATGTAGATATTATATATAGATCAAAGAGTAATAAAGTCAAATCATTTATTTCAATTATTATTATTATAATTATTACCTAAAATGGCACTTTTGAACGTCAAATAAAATATAAAGATGATTCTAGTTGCCCCTTCCAAAAGGTAGTTTCGTACCTAGTATGTTATATTCTGTCTAATAATATTGATTAAGTTAGCGTTATGGTAACACATACTACACTAGTAAGTGTTGCCCGTATTGTGTCAGAATTAATTTGAAACTAAATAAAAAAAAGTTTTGAAAAATTTTGACCGACGTTGTTATTTCAGTATGGTAGAAGAAGACTGGCGGCCATTGTGTCAAGCGGAGGGAGAACGGGCACGGGACGGACGGAATAGTTGCGGACAAGTTGTTTTGTCTGCACCTGACATCCCACCACCTCACTATATGGCTATTTGTCTACCCAGAGATCTGGCACAGTTGTTCCCAGTGTAAGTCTCATTTATGCGGTTCAAGTTGCAATTTTATTTTAAAAAGGCGCACTAACGAAACATTCAAACGCTTACAGAGAACACAACATATAAAAAACAATAAAAATTAATTACAATTAACTAGATTAAGAAATACAAATATTATATGAAATATGCAATTTCATTTCATATATTTCTTCTTTGCAATTGCATTGGTGACAGAATAATTGCTTATTTTACATTTTATATATATAAGTCTTATTGCTTATTCCGGTACTTTAGCCACATATTCTGAACTTTAGGTTAAAAATTGTGACATACAGAAATATATAATACTTGAACGCTATCAAAGCTGTAAATTGTATGATTTTTATTTTTATGGATCATAAATAATTAAACTAATAATTAAATATTTAAATTAACTTATAAATAATTTTAGGGAGGAAACAAAAGATGAGAATGTTGAAAGTGAAAAATCGCGTCCTCGACTACCCTCTTTTGCAGAAAACGTCGAAAAGCGAGTTACACCGGATGTAAACAAAGGTATGGTAAAACTGATTTTATGCTACTGGTACAGTGTCATGTACACATTACTCACGCTGTAACGCCTCGCGTATGCTATTAAAAATTAGAAGAATTTGTTGTAAACAGTTAAAAAGTTTTTGCTACCACTATGTGGAACCAGGCCATTGAAGTATTTCCGAACCAATTGGACTTAGGGTCCTTCAAGAAAATAGCGTACCAATTCTTAAATTGCCGCCAACGCACTTGCGAGCCTTCTGGCAATGTGGGTGTATCCGGCGGTATAACTTAACAGCAGGTGAGCCTCCTGCCCTGGTGAGCCAAAAGCCTCTTATTACATAAAAATAAACTTGTAATTAAAAAAAAAATATATATATATATATATCAACTTTATTATGAGAGCTGGGAACTCTGACTGGGAATCTTTGGCTATAACTTTAGTATAATTGTTTTTTTTAATATGTTAGCTGTAGGATTATAATAAAATAAATAAATTAAACAAAATAAAAGAGTGGAAAATTCAAACACGCCTATTGAAATAACTCACTAAAAACTGATGGACTTTTTCATGAAATTCCAGATCCCACAGCCACAGATAAGAAAGCGATCGAAAACGATTACGATGACAGTTACGTGAAGGACATCAGTGCGAGTACGTTGGTGACATCGAGTGCACGTCCCGGGAAATGGAAGCACGGGGCAAGGGACTGCCTTGCCTGTGTCAGGACTCGGCCTCCATCCTCTCATGAGTTGAGAGAAGCATTTTTTGCGGGTATGTAAAACAATTTTTTTTTTACTGTTAAAGCTATGAAATATAAGAAAAAAAAATTGTGTCTTTAATTTTGAATAATGTAAAAAATCATAAGAATTATCAAATTTTTTCTCGTAATTTTCCTCCGTACCAATTTTGTTCACATTAATAGTAAAATCTAAAAGTAATACAATCAATAAAACAGCAGCGATTTCAACGTCTTTAAACGATTAGAATCAAAATCACTAAAAAAAAACATTCAAAATAAAATGTTAGTTTGACATTTCAATATTGATTTTTTTTTTAATAATTTTATGACCTGGATTGAAATTTAAGGATTTTATCAATAGAGAGGAGAATGATTTGTGATCTGTGAAAGTTGAAAATATAATTTAAAACTTTATTATTATTATTTTCGGATACATAACATACCTTAATAATAATGCTCACGGAGTTAAAAACTTCGTTGATTTTATTATAATATTGTTTGGTGACTCTTAAATATATTTTATTATTTACATAACCATGTGAGAACTTTAGCACAACAGAAAAATTGATAGAACTTGTGCACTCATTGAAAAATATTCAAATAGATGTATTAGGATTAGCAGAAGTCAGAAAAATGGGATCTAATATAGAAGAACATCATGAACACATCCTATGTTACATGGGAAACACACCTGGATATATGGAGTTGGGTTTCTTATCAGTCGAAAACACAAAGCCAATATTATCGAGTTCACTGGTATATCTGAACGGGTAGCCCTGCTGCGCATGAAATTTGGAGAACACTGCATATCACTCATCCAAGTCTACGCACCAACCGAAGAAGCAGATGAAATTGAAATCAATAAATTCTATGAAGAACTTGAAAAAGCCCATGAACACCTGACAAAAATGTATTGATTTTAGGAGATTTCAATGCTAAAATTGGTCAACCCAAACATAAAGAAAAACTTATACTAGGCAATTATGGTTATGGCAAGCGTAACCAGAGAGGTGAAAGACTAATCCAATATGCCTTTGAACACAAGCTCTGTAAATGAACACTTACTTTAAGAAAAAACTTAGTAGATGGACCTGGATTTCGCCTAATGGACAAACAAAAAATGAAATAGATTTTATAATGAGTAATCACCCCAAGTGCATAATAAACATAGAAATTATAAATAAAATAGATTTTCCATCTGACCATCGATTAGTCAGAGCCTCTGTAATACTGACAACACCAACTTTATCAAGAAAGAAATTTGTAATGTTACCAAAATCTCCTGAAACCGACAATGAAAAATCAGAGTATTTGAAGAACCTAAGTGATAATATTAATACCCGCCTTAAAGAGATATATAATAATAATGATGTTCAAACTTACTATACGCCCTAGAATTAATAATTAAACAAAGCCTAAAAATAGATAAAGACCACAAAACAAATAAAATAATTAGCAAATCTACTCAAAAACTAATAAATGAACGCTCAATTTTAATCAAACAAAAAATTAAAAACAAGGAAGATAAGATCAAACTTAAGAATTTATTCAAAGCAACAAATAAAGCCATAAGAAAAGATTATAAAAACCACAGAAAACATATTTTAGAAAAAAACCTAAAGCAATATCGAAGTACGAAGAGGGGGCTTAAGGAGCTAAACACACACAAAAATTGGATAACAAAACTAGAAAATGGACACAGAGAAATGAAAACTAGAAAAGGAATCATGGAGTGTGCTACTGAATTCTATAGAAACCTCTACGAACACAGGATGACAGAGCAGTTGGCCCAACCACCAAGAATTCGGAGGAAATACTACAAGCCATTGATGAACAAGACGTACATAAATATATTTGCAAACTAAAACCTGACAAAAGTCCAGGACCTGACTATATAACTAATGAGGCCAAAAAATCGGAGCACCAATACTAACTAGTATCATAACAAAATTATTTAACTTAGTGCTGGAACAAGGCTATGTCCCTACACAGTGGTGCCACTCAGACATTGTGTTACTATACAAAAAAGGAAACCCGTTGGATATTGGTAACTATAGACCAATTAGTTTGATACCTACCATCTATAAGCTATTCTCATCAGTCCTACTTAGTCGAATAACAACAACAATTGATAACAACCAACCAATGGAGCAGGCAGGATTTCGTTCAGGTTTCTCAACTGTGGACCACATCCATGCTTTAGAACAACTTAAGAGAAATATAAGGAATTCAATAGACCACTCTATATAGCTTTTGTGGACTATTCCAAAGCGTTCGACAGCATAAACACACATCTATATGGCAGACATTGGAAAAAAATAAAGTGGAAGATAGATATATACAAATCATAAAGACCTATATTCTAAAAGCACAAGTAGAATAAAACTAGAAACGAAAGGTGCAGAGTTTCCCATTAGACGGGGCGTAAGACAGGGTGATCCTCTGTCCCCAAAACTATTTATAGCAGTCCTAGAAAGTGTCTTTCAAAATATTGATTGGGGAAGCAGGGGCATACCGTTAATAAATCAGCACCTAACACATCTCAGATTCGCAGATGACATAGCTGTTTTTAGTGAAACTGCATCAGAGCTGGAAAAAATGCTGCAAATCCTGGATGTGGAAAGTAAAAAAGTAGGTCTGAGCATGAACCCCAACAAAACTAAAATCATGTCAAATAGCCTGCACAAACCTATAAAAGTAAATGACAAAATAATAGAGTATGTAGAGTCATATATCTATCTAGGAAAGCAGGTATCGTTTGACACCACCAACAACGACAAGGAAATTTGCAGGAGAATAAACATTACCTGGAACAGGTACTGGTCACATAAGGAGATTTTGAAAGGAAATTACAGTTCAGAATACAAAAAGATTGTAATGGACACTTGCCTACTACCATGCCTAACATATGCATGCCAAACATGGGTATTTGATAACAAAACCAAAAGTAAAGTAAGGTCATGTCAGAGAGCAATGGAGCGCAGTATGCTAAAATTAAAAAGGATACACAAAATCAGACACGAAACAATAAGAGAAAGAACTAGAGTTACAGATGCCTTAAAGCATGCACTGAAGCTAAAATGGAAATGGGCAGGACATATATCTCGCTTGAAAGATGATAGATGGACACTTACAGCTACTAAATGGCTAGGTCCAAGGGGAAAAAGGAGAGTTGGCAGGCCTCAGAAACGCTGGGTCGATGACATTGTCCATGTTGCCGGAAAAGAATGGATGATCAGGGGTCAGGACAGAGAGGACTGGAAGCGGCTAGAGGAGGCCTATACCCAAGATAGGGATCCATACCTAGGAAAATAAAATATGGTACTAATAATACTAACATTTATTTCAATATTAAATTACTAAATAATATTACATATACTGTATTACTAACCACATTAACACAAAATTTTTAGTTTAGTTGTATTAGCATGTAATGTAAATGGTATGGAACGAAATAAAGGCTTTATTATTTTATTATTTACATAACCATAAGTTGTCAACATTATATTTAAAAAAAATCAACTACACAAGACCATGTTCACCATTTCATTCTCGGATTTATGATTGTACTATGTCTCTGGTGAAGGTCCGCCATCTTTAACTTTTAAATCTATGGTGTTATTATTATAAATGCTTAGTTTATTTAAGGGTTGTGTATGAAAGTTTTAGTAAGACTAGCGTCCTTTGTTCTCTTTATATGTAAATAATATTATTTTTTAAATACGAATAAAAAACAACATACTCGATACTTACATAATCTCTATCGTTATCTTAGAGCTGGAAGGTGCGAGTGGGGATGGTACTGACAGCCCATCGCTCATGGAAACCATGCCCCAAGCGCAGCTCCTTCACCACGTCATGTACATGTCCAACCCCATACACCTCAGACAGGTAATTGACCATAGTAATCTCGTGTTATAGCGTGACCCTAAAGGGCCTTTGTGGCGTTATAGTAAATTAAATGGACAAGAAAAATTGACCTAGAAATTGCGACGTTTTAAAGAATTTTAAATTAAATGCAGTTTGGCTGGTTTTGTTTTTCAAAAAAAAAAATCAGTGGCGCTACAACCTTTTTAGGTCTGGGCCGCAGTATCTGTTCCATGATCATTTGTCAATCTAATAGGCAAGTAGGTGATCAGCCTCCTGTGCCTGATACACGCCAACGATTTTTTGGGTCTAAGGCTAGCCGGGTTTCTCACGATTACGCACATAAACAAAAAGTTCCTTTTTAAAAAAGGATAAAAAAAAAAAAAAAAAGGGGGGGGTTTTTCCCGGGGGAAATTTTTTTTTTTTTTTTTTTAAAAAAAAAGAACAAATTTTTTTTTTTTTTTTTTTTTTTTTTTTTTTTTTATTAAAAATTAAAAAAAAAAAAATAAAAAAAAGAAAGAAAAAAAAAAAAAAAAAAAAATTTGATATTTAAAAAAAAAAAAATTTTCAAAAAAAAAAAAAAACAATCCCAGAACTATACGGAAATATACAGAACTGTCATACAGCAAGATTACCACATAAGTTAAATGATAGACACAGATGACGTCACTAGGGTTTGTAAGGGCGAGTCAATAAGTAATAATACTTTTTTACCCACAGTGCCGCACCGCCCTACTATCTCTAAAACAACGTCACCCGGAGATATTTCGCAGTGCGTGCGTGTATTCGGACGTCTGCGGTGCGCTTTCTCGCGACACATATATGTTGTGCGCCCGGCGTTTCTTGCAAGAACTGTTCTTAGATACGAGTTTCGAATGCTTCAGTACGGATTTGGCCACGATATTAGCGAGACATACACCCACCAAAATTGATACATAGTGAAGTTAGGAAGATTTTTTTGTGACCTACCTTCATTTTTTAAAACGAACGTCAAATGTTTTTCTTAGTGGATCTAAATTTAATTGCGATTTTTTTAACATGGCAAATTTAATAGGTATCCAAAAGGACCATATTTCGCAAAGTAGTTAATAATCAAATCTTGAGCAGTGTCAAGTTCCACAAAGCCTGAGTATAGTTGGTTTGCGTTTTGGAAATTTTACAAATTGTTCAGTTATTCCAATAATCATGAATCATGTTCCTGAGTTTTAGACTGATTTTTCATTTATGAATGAACCTTAAGTTATTTATTGTCATAACTTCTGAATATGTAACAAAAATCTCTTTACTTTTATAAATAGTATAAAAATATTACAACTATTCTATATATATGTCTTAGTCTAATCTATGGGTAACATTCAGAAAAGGATTGCGTAACTATGGTTCCCGACATGTTTTTTGACATTTGACATATCAAAGTCAAATCTATTTTTGACGTACGGCTGTCAGAATTATTCGAAAACTCGTTTTTGAATATTATTATTAAAACTTCAAAAAAAAATTATAGCTTTCAATTAACACACGTATTTGTCAATAAATTTATTCAAATATAAAGACAACATTGTGAAACATTGAGTCTGTAGGAGTCTATTTCTTATGAAGAATCAAGTTCGACATTAAAATGTATCTTATCTCCTATATTTTAATAAATAAGTAACTCTTAGGATCTTGGGGACACCTTGGAACAATACATCTTTGACGTACGAGTCATAAGCGCTAAAATTCATAAATGAGACTCCCAAACTGTCTCCCGTATGTCAGAAACGTATTGCATTGAGTCATACTTAGCCCTAAGTCTCGATTCTGAATCTTAGGGTTAGACGTCGAAAATATTACTAAATCATAAACAATTGTTTACAATTGTTACAACGGAAATACAAATAAATAAGATTTGTTTTTTATTATATTGAAGATAACGAGATATTTGTTACATACACAAACTTATTCATAAAGAAACTAAAAGCCTCAAATAGATATTATTTGTCTTTATTAGTATCATATTATGTGGATGTGACAAAACATTCTTTAACTAATTGAGGTTTATAGTGTATTTACTATTTATGTCAAACAATATTCTCCTTGTGACGTTCATTGAAAAGTAGGTATTAAAGGTATATAAATACGCCTTATGTAAATAATTAAATAAGCTTCTATGTAATCATAGGTAACTAATAGGCTACGATGCTTGGGTTTTATTTATTTTGTTATTTAATGCTAACTAGTTGTACGTTTTTGTGTAGTGCGAGTGATTATTTTCTCAATAATATCATAGTATTAGTGCCGTCGCGAAATCGATTTTTGACAATATTGTAAAGTGAGTTCTGATTAATTTACAGCAGTAATATAATATTTACATTCTGCATCCTGTAAACTAAGTAATTTATCCCACCAGGGGTCAAAGACACGTGCGGCGGACGTCACGCAATGTATGTGATAGCGGGTCACGCTTGTCGCAGGAAATATTTGTCTAGGGCCCCCAAATGTCTTGTTATTCCACAGACGCGTAACTTAAATGCGTATTCGTCAATTCGTATTTAACATTAATATTTACTAATTCATGATTATTGAAAACCTTATTCCAGGTTAAGTATCTCTGATTTTCTCTGTATTATTACAATTTTTTGTCTGGATAACGAGTTTTATATAAACCATTAGTAAAATGACGAATATGCGTTTAATACGGAATCTGTGGTCATTTGATCTTATAAACATACGATATGACGCCATTGTGTTCAATTTTATAACTACTGTGCATTTATCCGTTTATTGTTAAACTCGATAACAGTAGGGTTATTCAGTACTTTGGAATCTTTGGCGATATTGATTACGTCTACCGCAAAATACCTTTATATAGGATTTTTTTAAACTGTCAATTGCTCGAATTTAGCACACCTACAATATGTGCCTACAAACAGTACGATAGACATACTTGACATACTTTGAATCGCGCTACCAAAGTTATTCCGACCTCTAAGCCTTTATTCAACTTCGACAGGGGCTTTCGGTTCCTCCATTCAGTGGTTAGACTGCTTGAGGGTCCTTACTTCAGGTTGGAGGAAACAAGACCAACTTGGTTCCTCAACGATGGGATTCCCTCAAATTGTCTTTGACCGAGTGTCAGAGACAAGTTTGAGAGCGAACTAAGTCGCCCACCTGTCATGGATTCATACGAGTTTGACAGATGGCAGAGTTAGTTCGCGCTTAGATGTGTCTCTGAATCTTATTCTTATTACGTTCAAGACGCTAAATCAATTCCAAATGTAGAGAATCACCTTACTGTTCACGTTATTTAATAAATAATTATAACTAAGTATTAAGTGTAGAATAAACTTCAGGTGTCAGTACCTATCACGAGTGTATTACATAAAGGAAATTGTACATAACAGTATTTCCAATATAGAACTGACATAGAATAAAGTTGACGTAACTGCATTTAACCTAGACACAGGCTATAAGAAAATTTGTTAAAAACTAATCTATGAAATCATATTGTACGAACAGCGTACGTTTGTTTATTTGTCCTATTTGAAATATATATAGTATAGCGCTAGTCTGCATAACTAAAATCGTAATTTTATTTGCCTGTTAAAAGTGAATAGAATCCGAATCATAACAATAGTGCCATTCACCTGGTTCCTTTTAATAATAATTCGAAAATCAAAAGTTATTAAAATACTACTTAGTAATTAGCCATTCTACAGTTTATCATTATAATATAATTTTATACTACCCAATACTGTGTTTTATTTTAATATGAGATAGAGGTAAAATAGGTTATTATATTTGCTATATTTTGTGTATCGCTGGATGAGTTGATTGAGTTATATTTTCGAAATTATCTCACAGTTTTTATTAACGAAGTTTTCATGACACCACAGTTTGTATGACATCAATCACATTGGTGGCAAACATCTACAGTATTTTACAAAAGTATTCTGAAATTCATCGAATACTTGTTAAGTAAAAAACTATCATCGAATACTTGTTGAGTATTCGATGATAGTTTTTTTTAATTAAGTTTTTTTTAAATTAAGGAGTAGGAAAGATAATAAATACTAAAGGATCAAACCAGTAAGTTTTAAAAGTCCCAACCATTAAAAGTTTTGTAAATACTTAACGGTGGTAAATTAAGAGACCTAAGAAAGTGGGACATTTATATCTCTATTCTGTTCTTAAGTGCAGTTTTTTTTAGTTCACGTTAACATTGTGAGAACTGAGATTTTATTTTGTAATAGAAGTATTACTCCCTAATGGATTACAATTTGTGCGGCTACACACTGATAAAGTAAAAAGGGGATTACGACAATCTTGAGAATTGCTCGATTTAGTCACACCGCCGCCCATGGACTACACTGCCATAAGGCTCGCAAGTGGGTTGCCGGTCTTATGATTGGTGCGGTCTTTTCCTGAAGGACCCTAAGTCGAATAGGTTCTATAACACTCCTGTGACCAGCTGGTACTCTGTAGTTGTGGATGTAATGCGTACAATTAAACCCGAGAAGGGTTGAGAGGCACGATTCCAGCGAAGGGTTGAAAGAGACAAAATATGTTTGCTTTATAACTTTCTGGACGTATACGGGATCTTATACTCAATGTTGATTAGTGAAACGGAACTTCGTATATGTCTATAATCCAGTTTTTTCTAGAGCTTATTTTCAATATATGACCTCAGTCCTGACACATCAATAATTAGGGTATGCCACTGTTTTCAGGCATCCAATAATAATCAATATAAGACATGACTTTTGGTAATAAGGAGGTACTTTAACAATTACAGCTTATACTGACAGTTGACACATATGAGTAGTGATTTTATTAGAAGGTCGCCATGTCGCTTGTTAATTGTCATAAACTGTATTTAAAAAAAAACAAAGTTTTTATCTCAAAGAAAAATTGTCCTACATAGTGTTATTAATATTTAATACCAATTTCTTTTTATTTAAAATATAAGTTTTGCGCAATACCCTAATAACTTTTTAATGCGCTTCTTAATTCAAATGTAACTAAGTACTTATTCTATATAGTTCTTGGTTATGTTTAAGTTACCAAGTACCAGTACCATTATAAAATGGTTTATTAATAAATGAGGATATTCATGAGCACTCATAAATTATGACAGACCCGGAGCGTTTGGAAAGAATAAAAGGCATGTATTTTTTTAAGTTTTATTCATCTTAATTAACATAACTTTAGTTCAATAGGATTTTTCTTTAAGGTGGTGCTTTCCTAGCAGCAGTCGCAGGCATATCTGCATTTGTTGGGTTTGGTGCAACATTAGCAGCAGCTAGAAAATCTGATCCAAAATATTTTAATAAAGGTAAATAAATTACTTTTATTTTTCATAAAATCCTGTGTATTTTTTTAAGAAGGTATAGAATTGCATGTTTTCATTAAAACATGCATTTGCTGTTCTGTTCATTAATATGATTTTTATAGGAATACAAGGGAGTGTTGAACTAGCAGATGCCGGAGCAATTCTGGCACTGAGAGCACTTGGATGGGGTACTTTTTATGCAGTAGCTGGTACATCATGTCTTTGTTATGGTATATGGAAATTGTCTGGTGCTAAAGATGTAAGTTTCTAATATAGTCTTTAATAAAATTTGTTAAAAAATAGTCATAAATATTATTGTTTGTTATAGCTTAAAGACTTTCGTATCAAAATGGGGAATATGCTGCCAATACTGCCAAAGAATAACCCTCCAAAATCGAGAACAGAATTCAGTGGTTTAAATGATCTCCTAACCTATTTATCAGAAGACTATGGGAAGAAGAAATAAAAGTATATCATTATGCTGTTATGATTAGTACAAATATATATTTATGTAGTCAAATCTTGCTTAATTACAATTTCTTCTTTGTATGCCGGCCCTTTATTACAACTCTGTTTGCAGGTATATATTGCTAGCACTCCCCAATCAATGCTATTAAGTTCTATACCAACATTTATAAAGTTGAGAAGTTGTGGCATAATCTGGAAAATATAAATTTTTAATGCCATGCAAACTCATTGTTATCTACGTGAATATATTTTTTCTTTGACAACCGGTTTTATAGAAGACATTCCAATGATAAAACTGAACTCAATGACTTACATTTATATGTATTATAATATTTGATCATCCAATCTAATATTTAGGAATTACCTGAAATTCATACTGCCTTTCTTCATTACAGTATTGACAATTCGGCACATCAATTAGGACATTACTATTTCCAGTTATCCAGAGTGGGGTACCACCTTTATCATACCGTAACACTTGGTCAGGATGCCTAGCAATTCTCTTATTAAATTTATTAAATACTTTGTCTTCTGGTATGTTTCTGCTATATTGTTCTAGTTCACTATCATTAACATCATTCATTGTTCCCGCTTTTTGCTCCTGCATTAGTTTTCTCAATTTTTCCATCTCTTCATTGGGGTCAACATCTTTGATGTCTTCCTGTCAAGTCATGCGAGTAAAGTCATGTTAATTATAATAAAAGGTACTTAGGATAAATCTTAGGGATTGGTATTATATACATATTATTTAAGTTTTTTTTTCACATATTTCAAATAAATAAAACTTACTTCATCTTCCTCATCAACAATAAGTTCCCATTCTTTGAAGAGCAGAGTCTTTCCAGGCTCTGTTACAGTAAAATAGTGGTCATCAATCTGTAAAAATTACTTGATAAAGAATAATATGAAGAGGCACAAAGTTAAATGTTGGTGGTTGGGTTAGTTTCGTTACTAAAGACTAACTTAAACATAACTATATTTACCTCTGACAAATTTGAACAGGATTCTTTGTGACCTTTCTGCCAATGTAATATTTGGTGCTTTCTACTACAGTAGTAAACATTTTTGCACTTTGAACAGTGTGATGGTGCCTTCAACCCACAGACATGACATAATTTTGTCCATTTATCCATTGGAAATACCTGTAGAATAGAATCATTAAAATTTACTTCTAATTAAGTACATTTTGTCTATATATGTATATAATAATTAGTAGGGAAATAGATGGATTTTTATTAAAAACAAGTCCTTAAGGAGTAAAACTACCTCTTCCTTATTTTCTTCATAAGGTTGAAATGAATAAAATTCATTCTTTCTCGGCAGCTGACAGCGGAATACTTTTATGTTATCAGAGTTATTTAATCGACAACACGATCCATTCTTACAAATGAACACAAAAAGTGTTCGATGGAAGGTATCGTCTTGCTCTTCAAATGGAGCATATATCTGAAACAATTTTATACACATAATTACAAACAATTATGAGATCTCGTATTGATGAAAATTACTTAACTTACTTGACACAAAAATATCATAACTTCACTGCAGTGTTTACAAGTGAGCTCAGTTGGTGATAGGACACCACTTAAATTTAACCAGGACGGTTTCCCTCCCACTTTACTTGGGAAAAATCTTGGATGTAATAACCACGAATCCTTTTCTTCTACATAACCTATATCCACAGCTTTGTTAGACATTTCTAACAATACGCAGTACGAAAGTTTAAATATTAATATCAATATTTTATAAATTATTAAAAAATGGCATTTGCTTTTTTACTAATTGTAATTTTCAAGTAAGTTTGTAAATAAATTGAATTCGATACCACAGGACACCCGACAGAGTTCATCACAGAACACAATTACGGATTACCTAAAGGAGTTCATCGTTAACGAGTCACAGACTAGAAGGACCGAAAAAGATCAAATATCGAAGTTGGATTCGTTTTTTTTTTTTTTTTTAACTTTTTGGCAACAGCTTCAACTTTATGCCAGTTTCAAGTAAAAAGTTGGATTCGTTCAAAGTCATATCGAATAACGATAGTCGATACCTCTTCATAAGCTTAACTCTTAAGTAAATCACTTTTCGACAGTCGTGAGTCGTGACGACCACTAAGTACTAACGTTTACGCTTTGTCGTTGAGTAGTATTTTGTATAAATTAATTTGTTTTAGTAACTTAAATAAACAATAATGATCTGTGATTAGATATTGTTTATCTGTGCTAGTTAGTTAGCTTAGTTAGTATGACGTTAGGACGTATATAGGATAGGAATAATACCACAGGTTATTCATTGTTAGCAAGATAAATCATCACAGAAATTGATTTTATATTAAAAACCATAATATAATGTGATACTCATTGTATTTTATTTAGAATGGAAAAGCAAAAGACAAATGTTATAAACCTCTTCAATAACGCCAAAGGAGAAAAGACTTATTTAAAAATAAGTGCTCCTATGGTTAGATACAGCAGGGTGCAGTTTCGAAGCTTGGTTAAAAAGTCGGTAGCATATTTCATATTACTCTGTTACGACCTTTAAGTATTTGTTATATTTTGTAGTTAACTTTGTGAAAAAAATCTATATCTTAAAACTTATAAGTATTTAGTTATTTTTGTGTTTTTTACTGCATTGAAATTGTAAAGGGTAATACAACCCTCTCTGTTTCAGGTACAATGTGGATTTGGCTTTTACCCCAATGATTTTAGCAAATGCCTTTTGTCAAAACTCCAAAGCTCGTTCAAATGAGTTTTTGACTACAACACAAGATACACCTTTAATTGTCCAGTTTGCTGCTAACAATGAAAATGACTTTTTAGATGCCTCTAAGTTAGTCTATCCCTATGCTGATGGAGTTGATTTAAATTGTGGTTGTCCACAAAGGTGGGCCATGAAAGATGGTTATGGATGTGCATTACTGTCTAAACCCGAAATAATTCATGACTTAGTAAGAGCGGTTAAAAGTAACACACCGAATGATTTTACAGTTTCGGTTAAAGTAAGACTTTTAAGAGACATTAGAACTACAATTGTCATGTGCCAGCAGCTTGAGAAGTGTGGAGTTGATTTTCTTACTCTTCATGGTCGAACGCCTGATCAAAAAAGCAGTGAAGCAATCAATGAAGAAGCCATGTCAGATGTGTTTAGTGCTTTGAAAATACCTTGTATTGCTAATGGGGGTATAAGAACTTTGCAGGATGCAAATGAATTGTATACAAAGTTAAATTGTGATGGTGTTATGGCAGCTAGTGGGTTACTATCCAACCCAGCTTTGTTTAGTGGAGCCACTACTACTCCAGTAGAATGTATAAAAACATGGATGGAGTTAAAGAATTTAAGTAAGGATAAAATAACATTTCAATGTTATCACCACCATTTAGTTTTTATGCTTGAAAAAACCCTAAGTAAAAAACAAAAACAAATTTTTAATTATCTGCAAACATTTGAAGATGTTGACAATTTTTTATTTAAACATATAATTTCAGACAGTAATGCTAATCAAGAGGACATTGGTGATTTTATAACATGTTATTATGATGAAAAAATTACTTTTAAACATAATAAAAAATGTAGAGGTTGTGGATTTAGTGTGCATTATTGTGTTTGTATAAAGTATGATCAACAGGCAAGTGACGGTAGTTTTTTTACTACTTATGTAAAGACTAATGATGATTTAGACTATATGGATAGTAATATATTTGAAGAAAAAGTTTTATAGCACAATGAGAAGTTTTATTTTAAAAAAAATTCAATACAAATTTAAATCATTTATTTGCCAGAAAGTGGTAAATTTATATCGATCTATTATAATAATCTGCACAAAAATAGGCATGCAATTGTCACGTTAATTTTCATTATGTCATAATAATAAGTCAAGCTATTTATAATTAATTGTTGTCAAACTTATAGGCCAAATTTTCGCCCACGCTATAAAAGCACCTTGAATTTAAAAATTTAATCACCTTCCCCTTGAAAGCATTACACGGCAGTGATTTATTACTTCTGGAAGGTGATTAAATGTTCTTATAGCCATGGCGTAACAATTTTTTAAATATAGCGCGGTGCAACATGCAGGCACCCACAGCCGTGTCGTTTAAAAAGGTTATTGGGAAAATTTAGTTTTTATCTGAAATATTAAGGAACTGATTTTCTTTATACACGTGATTTACATGCACTTATTAATGTTTATTTAAAGATGTTTTGACTTAACAACCAGTGACACAAAAGATTGAGGTATGGGAGGGAGACATTTGTTGATCAGCCTTTTATGCCTTCCAAGTTCCAAACCATAACAAATATTACTATCAGTACAACTTCAAACCCATCTCAAGAAATATATTAGGAAATAATAATAAATAAAATAATTCCCCGAGTCATTTCTCAATATTACCTTGAACATAAATTTTCGATGTGACTAGTCAGTAATTCATAGCAATGAATTTCATACGCTTTCAAATAAAAATCAAGGACGCGTTCTAAACTATACTTCATTTCTGTTAAACCTATAGTAAAAGATATACATCGATAAATGATAATGACCTACTAAACTTTTTTAACCTTATTCCTTTGGATGGCTTTTCGTGGGATTTTATCCGGTATCCCACATTGTTGTGGTTGTGCACTACAGCTACTGCCTACTTATAGTTATATTTCAGTCATCTTTCAATTTAGTCACATTTTTAATTTATTATTTACTGTTGCTTCAATAAAAAAAACATGTTATAAAAAAGATTGTTGCTTGAGTCGGCTTGTTTTTTTATGAATGACTACCATTATAGACATGAACTTCATGTTGTTACCACATGAAGTTCACTTCATAATTCAAAATTAACCTTTTTGAAGTGTTTTTTTATTCTTTAGGGATGAAAGGTTGTAAAATGAAACTTCGTTTTAAATTTTACTTTTCTTTTTAATCGATTTGGTGTTGTAAAATATTAACCGTCGATCAAAGTGTACAAAATTACAGGCCTTTATAGTGATTATAGGTATTTCTGGCATATTACATAAACACCTTTCGATAAGGTAATCCGCAAATCCAAATATTGTAGCGGAAGATTTAAAATACATTTATAATATTGCTTAATTTGACATACCGTGACATTGTACTTATTATATTAAGTAAGTACTATACTATTTTAGTTAACTTTTATACAAAATTATGGTATGAAAATCGAATTTTGTCATGTTTAGCTTGGAAACAACGGAATTTACATATTTACATTGAAATAAATGTACATAAAACATCCAGATAGAATAACTAAATAAAACCTTATTGATGTAACGATAAAAATAAATCCATTATATTACAGAAGAGCTTGGGTTGTGATTGTACTTTATAAAATGAGGTATATAAATATATACTGGCAACAGAATATTTTACTACGTATTTGTGCGTTTATATGTCAAGTATACACTCGTTATATGCTTTTGAATGACATTAAAATACAATCACATTTCTGGTCAAATACAATCAAGAATAAATTACATCTTACTGTTAAACAAAAACGCTGAGAAAGATAACAATCATAACATTTAGTGCATACTGTTGCTTAAACTTTAAAACCATAACAATAACAAGGATGCGAAATAGACTCTGAAATAATGATACTGAATTAAAACATTGATTATAAAGAGCAAAAAGGTACATTTACATGTGTGTCTTAAGATGGAAAGTTCGTTCGATATAGACCGTAATGTTACCGAAGAATCGTCTAGATTGATTGAAAAATATCTCGTTAAACTTTCCCTACTTCCGTTTCCGTAAACTCTAACTTGACTTTGACAAAGTTATAAAATGCAACCGTCTTAATATTTATTTACGCAGATTTTAATCAGCATTTTAAACTTTTTCAAACTTATAGTAGAGTTACTGTTTTAAATAAATTTAAGACTACAATTAATAACGTATAAATGCACTATTTCTTTTCACAATATGATTTCTTTGAAAGGTCACAAAGTTTAATACAAGTAATTACAAATCCTACATTACAAAAGTATGAAAATATAGTCATCACAACGAACACACATATAAATGGTGTTTTAATGATCCTATCAAACATTTACTGGTTATCTTTATATAGTTACTATTGAACGATACATTTAGCTTTTATAAATGCTTGTCATAAAATAGCAAGTAATGTTTATAAGAGAATGCGTATAAAAATTTATTGCAAGAATAATAGAAATATAGAAAAAGCTACGGATTGGTTCTACGTCACGTATCAGTTATAAGTAGAAGACGTATACGTTATGTATACCAGAACCCTATAATGATAACGTTTGCCAATCGTCGCGTTGCATTTCAGCCTTTTTGATTAGGAGAATCGTAATTTGAATTTCGAATATGAAATAGTAACTAGTAAACACGGTGAATTAAAAATAGTATTTAGTCGCCGACTATAAGTCGGTCAGTTCTCGAAGCGACTGACTCTGGCGACTAATACTCTACGATGTGAAGCACCATTTGTTCTAGCATAGGGGTAATGTACACAGTTTGATCTAATCTAAGTAATATTAGAATTAAGTTGACGCAAATACGCACTTACGAGTACTCTCCAATTATTCTTTAGGAACAATGATTTACTATAATACGAATATTATTAGGATAACTTAAAAGTATCATTAAAATATGTTCGCGCTTTTGGCACTAATACTAATTTAATTTCAGTTTGTTTTATAAAAGTTTGATTATGGTGATGTAGCTTTCTATTTTTCACGTCTAAATTAGAAAACGTTAACGGGAAACATAATTGTGATGTGGTTCTTTGGTGAAATATTAAGCTTTGCAAGTATAAAATTCACAATGCAAAATTATGTAAGTATTATGTCAGCAAGTAACATAACATACGTTAAATTCTAAAGATAGGAAGTTTAAGATCGAATTATACCAAGAATATATAGTATATTTTACAAATAATATATGTACATGCGTTTAGAAAAATTAAATTATAACAATAAGTCTATGGCGAAACATTCTATTTACAATAGAAACAAAAGTAAAAAAATTGAGCATTATATTAAAAAAGGCTGAGTCTACAAGTACTCCAGGCCCTCTACAACTAGATAGTCTTATAATGGATGAATTCTATGTCAGTACTTAGTACTTAATACGTCGCGATAGGATAATTTCTAACTTACAGGTATCTATACAAATATACACGATAATGTTCATAATCTCATAGCCACTGAATGAGACGAGGCGAATAAACACGAATGTGTCTCTAATATAATGGATACTTTCACTTAATCACAAGACTGAAATCACATTACGCGGCGGGCTTTCACGCAAAGGAGTGCGTGTGACGGCGACTGCTTAGAAGGCGCAGGACTTGGGCCTCAAGTGCACTCGATGATTAGAGGCTGGCTCGATTCTATCACTGTGGGCCTGGTTTCAGCTGACCCATTCGAGTAGTGCTGGTCATGTTCACTTTGGGCGGGCATCAGGCTGCGGTACTGGCCGGGTCCTGGCGATATGTGACCGTGTCCTGTTAGATGCGGTGTGGTCGTGTGCGCTCCCATCATGGCTTCTCCGAGGGATAGACTGCGAGCCCCACCGGTCATAGCCCCTCCTTGCGATGCGGAGTGCACTTCGTAACTTTCGTGCCCCTCTCTCTCGTGGCAGTCTTTGTCGACGTTACCTGCAAAGTGCACGCGAAAATGAAATCGGTCGCGTTCAGCGCAAGTGAAAGTTGTACACCTACGGAGAGAAAGTGCATCGCCGCTTAGTGAGTGACGCGACTGTGCGCTTATTGCAGCATATTATTGCATTAAAAGTGATATTAGCATTAAATAAAATACTAATTTACCTAGATATAAATTTATAGAAATTGATTACTTACCCATGCATTCGGTGTTCGCTGCGTTGGTAATAGCCAAAACTTCTTCAATATTGTTCGGTTTACAGCTTGTGGTTTTCCAATGAGTTCTGAGACCTGAAGCGCTTATGTACTTCTTGTCGCATCCTTGGCAAACGTACGGCCTGTCATTTGTGTGAAGACGTTTGTGAAGTTTTAAATGAACAAACTGTGTAAATTTCTGCATGCATAGGTCGCAGGCGTATGGTTTCTGTCCGGAGTGCAATCGTAAGTGTGTCTTAAGATTGGACGTCGATGAAAACCTTTTCTTGCAAATATCACATTGGTGCGGTTTCTCTCCAGTATGTACTAAATGATGTTTTTGTAAATGTGCGAGTTGTGTGAAGGATTTATTGCAGACATTACATTTGAATGGTCTTTCGCCCGAGTGTGTTCTCAGGTGTACTTTCAGGTTTGATAACTGGCCAAACGTTTTACAACAAACGTTGCATTCGTAATGCATTTTTCCATCTTTCTTCTTTAAAGGATATGGTAGACTTCTGTAGCCACGCGATGATTGGGAATTGGGGCTCATTGGTCCCATCATCATATTGCATGAACCGTCAGGACTTAGGCTGCCATGCTGCGGTACCAGTGGGTTACCATTTTGTATTAAGCTTAATTGTGAGCAGTTTTTCAAAGTAATAACGCTAGTAGAAGATGGGTAGTGATGATTGCCTTGTCCGTTTTGATTTCTCTCATATTGATGGGATGATGTTACTGTAGGAGAATACGTAGTCGGAGGAGAACCAAGCTGTGTAATTATGGTTGAATTCGGCGGAGAATACAGATTGTAGGAGTAGTTCGGATAGTGACTTTCATAACGTGTCTCTCTTATTTCGCGTATTTCTCTTATTTCCCGAATTTCTGTCGTGTGAGGTATGGTATGTGGTGGTGATGCAGCATAAAGAGAAACTGAGTTAGGAGTTGGCAGTTGTTGAGGTAATGGCAAAAGCGATGGCAAAGGTGTTAGGTTTGAACTAGAGTCGGGACTACAAGCATTGCCATATCTTTGACTTTTCTTATATGAATATGCCATTTCCGTGGGTGATGATGGAGGTGGAGTTGCATTTGGTTGTCTTCTGTTTGGATCATTGTTATTAGTGTCCATTCTGTTTCCGGTAAGAATAGTTTCTAAAATTCTTGTATCTGGAGGTGAATACCTCAGGAATGCCGGTTGTGGTGAGGGTGAAAGTGCACCGTCTTCGTAGTACGGTTTGTTTATAGGAACTACTGTGTTTTGTGACGATTCTAATACAATAACAGTGGATGTGGCTGGATCTCTCCGAGGTGGTGATAAATTTTGTGGCGAAGTATTTGCTAACTCTTCCGCAATAATCAACTCCTTTTCACTTTCGCAATCCATATCCTTAACATTCTGATATTGATATGCCCTAGGCATTTTTATTTTCACTTTCCTAAATTCGTTACGATGCATGTCTTGTTCTACTTTTTGAACGATTACGGTTTCTTTAGGTTCATTTGTCTTATTTGAACAGTCCAATACATAGTTTTCTACGTCGGAATCACTGGAGTCTTCTGGTGGTGTAAACTCATCGTGGTAACCATTGCTATGGTACCCTTCGTCTGACCTTACAGACCCGTCATTAGGAGTAAGTTGGTGCTCATAATGGGATGGTACGCAATGAGAGAGATTTGGCGATTTGCTACCTGGATGTAGAGCCATCGGCGAAGGCCCGCGCATATCTCGATGGTGATGCATTTGAGAAGGTGATCTGCTATGTATCCTTGGATTTTCCATCTGATGTATTACTAAATGCGAAGTACTCTCTTTGTGTTGGTGAATAATTAACGTAGCATCTCTGTGGTGCAATTTAGGTGATGGTGGTTGCATTAATCCAATAGGAGATATAGGACGGTGCTCGCTTAAGATATGCGAGTTTTCCATTTTTGGTTGGATAACATTAGATGATACATCTATTCTAGGTGCGATTTCACTGTTATTTTTGTCACTGTTTTCACGCTTAATTCGCCGGCTAGGTATATCTGTTTCCATCATTTCTTTAGCATTGGATAGTCCAAGAACATATTTCATATGATTAAAAGCTATTTCAGGATGTACTGGTGCTGGCGGCAGGCCGTATGCTTTTTTGATTGTTTCTTCTTTGCCTAAAAAAAAAAGAATAATTAGAAAACAATCTACATATTGTTGGATATAGGATATATAGATATAGGAGTTTTTATTTCAGAATAAATACTTACATATAGAATATGTTGCTCTTTCCGGATCGATGTCATAACCAAGCCTAGTTGCAAAGTCTTTACAATACCACACCATCAGCTCTTCGTTTGGTAAAATGTCTCTGAAATTAAACACAGCAATGAAAAACCGTAATTATTTTGAGATGTGATAGTTTTTTGACATTTATAAGTGCTGTGAAAAGTGAGTTTTACCTGATAGTGTAAAAGTATATGTGTTCTTGGTGTTGGCACGCGACGAGATTCATTACTGACAGCGAGTACGCCGAGGCAACATATCTCATCCAGTTCGCTACGCTGGTGTCTGATCCGTCAAGGTAATAGTAATCACTATCTTTGAATATCTGTAAGTTAAAGATGTTAATTATTAATTTATGCGGCTTTTAATTGATAAAGAAATTAATCATACTTCATTCGCGAATAGATTTACATTTCAATTAAATAATTATATTATGTAGGCCCATTTATAATGGTACTTTTTAACTTAAACTGTTTTGCCCTGCTATCACGTGTTATATATTTACAATACGCGTGCGGCTGATAGTAACGTGCTTGTTATTAAGTCAAGGACATAATGCAATGTCATAATGAAGTGGGACGTGAAAGATAGTGGCCGTTTGAAGAGCGTTAATAAGCCATAAACCATTTAAGTAAAAGAAAACCCAATCTCACCTTAATGTTTCCATAAGTGTGATGTCTGACCGTTTCTTGTACCTGGCCCAGACAGAGGAATATGTTAGAGAAAGAGTGTATTATAAAACATTAGTAAAGAAATTGCTATAGAAGGAGTATTAGTATGAAATTTTTAGATGTAATTTGGAATTATACAACAGCGTAAAAGCGGATAAAGTATAATAACTTACCCTCCAGTAGTACCTCCACGATACTTTGTCATTGGGTTTGTTTGGCGTTCTTGTTCCTTCAAATGGTCCGAACCTTGTACCTCGTGGTATTACACCCGTGCTCCAAACTCCTTCAGTCTGAAATATTGGTATAAGTTTATAACCATAGTTTTAAAACATAATCTAATGCCGTTCTTACATGGCTTGTTTCTAAGACTAATAGAAGATATATGACTATTATAGCTAGTAAAACTAAATTTTTATTTAAAAAAAAACATTCATACTAATTTATATAAAGAGAAAGATTTCCGTGTAACGATTAAACTCAAATGCAACTGGATATTTTTTGAAATCATCAATAAATTGTTGACCACTAAAATGCTACTTATCTGCAAGATTATTTTATTTTTATTTTGATTTGATTTGAATCGAGACAGGGCGCAGTAGATAAATATTTCTACTTAATGAAACATAATAATTCTTTAGAGAAGAGAGGAATGTCGGAATTTGGAGGAATTTGCCAAAAAGGGTACACAGATACACTAAAGGAAGATTGAAATAAAAACGTATTTAAATGTAAGTGTATCTGAATTAAAGGCTATTATTATTATTAATTAATTCTTTAAGTATTAAATTTAAGGCCTACTAAAACCGTTTGAAGCAAGTTATTTACCGGTGTGTTAGGCGTAGATAATACTGCAGAAGGTCTTAGAGCCAAGCTGCGTGGCAGTGTTCTCTCAGCTCTATTGGACACTCCTCTCTCACAGGGCACATCGGGAACGATGTATACTGTGAGCCTCTCAAACTCCTCTTCCCTCATCCTGGTGACGTCATAGGCATCATTGACGACACCAATATTAGGACTGGCTGTACGGCCAACCGTTGTGCTGGGGATTTCTTCGCTGGTTGACTATAGGAAAATCAATAAGAACATTATTATATTATTCTCATCCTCATCTTCACACAGTATTTTTGCATTTATTTCATTTATAATTTTTGTAATCCACGGCAATAAGGTTCTCTGCTATATCTAAAATATTTATCATTTGCTATTAATTTCCTTGGAGTTTCGGGCTGTGAGTTGAAATTGTCTAATTTACTTAAGCCTATTTAGCATTTAAAGGAAAATATAAAAAAAATGGTAACAAATTAAGGCGAAGTAAGTGTGTCAAGTGTCATTAATTTTCAGCTCCGAAAATATGCAAACGAAATGCACTTCATCCTTCTGTTAAATGTCAAAGCATTTTAAATCTTATCGCTTAAGGCGAGGGTGTATTTTTCAATGGCTTGTGAAGATGTCGTTGTTCGATAAAGAGGCGGTGCCACTACTGACCCAGTTTTCAAATGCGCACTTTTCACTGCGCACAGACTTCCCCCTTGCCTATTTATATTTTCAGCAAAACCTATGTCCAAAAATGGATATGAAAAAGAACGATGTATGTAGAAAAAATATTTTAATTTATAAAAGAATTTTTGTTTTTTTGGTCATAATCTCAAATAGTATCAATATCGATTAAATTTGAAATAGTAGATAGATTCTGTTCCTCAGCATAATGCTGAGCCAGGGCCAATTACAGCCACAGCACACCCGCATTACACACTTGAAACGAACCGAATGGGAAAAGGGACAAAAAAAGAAAGATAATGTTGTGTGTTTATGTGTGTGTGTGTGTGTGTTTGTTTGTTTGTTTGTAATAAATGATATGTCTATGTCTATGTCTAAATTAAAAAAATATTCTACGAAATATATTGAATGGCTCGTACAGTAAAATCTATTCGACACGTCCAAATATACACTTTTCAGCAGTGCTAAAAATTCAATAAAATAAAAATAAAAAAAAATAACTCACCAGTCTCATTTTGTTGTTTTGAAGTCTTTGTTGTTTTATAATTGTATCTGAAACAAACGAAACAACAATTAGAATTTTTTATCTTAATCTAGATTAAAGTCAAGATCAATAATTCAATATAATATGTTAAGTAAACGAAAACATACTTTTTAGTTACTAAATAATTTGGTTTATAAAAATTCTTTATGAACCAGGGTCTACTTTTATAATAGTAAATATATTTTTTTTAAATTTTCTTCTATGTCAATCAAAAAGAACACTGATTTGAAATGTTATAAATGAACACTAAGAGAGTGCTTACAACAGGATATATTCTTAATACTAATCGCCACGCTTATGAAGCTAAAAAACAGCAAGCAGAAATAATCCTTAGCTCATAGATTTTTAATAAGTAACAAATAAGTTTTAAATATCGACATGTTCTTTAATATCAAATATTTATTTCATTCACGCAAATATTAATTAAAAGTCTGAATAGAAAATATATAACTAATTAATACATTATACATTGAAATAAATAACTAACCTTAACATATAATAAATAAAATATATTATTAAATAAGTTGTATTATGATAAAACAATTTTCGGGAGCATATTGACTTTTTACAAGATCGGTTGCCTATAGCACAAGACCTTTTATTTTGATCCCAGCATTGAATAACACGTTAATCAATATATAGAATTTATTAGTATTATATTGTAATTAATTTCGCACGTGACTGAAATAAGATAACAGATGTGTACACTGTACATTCATAATATCGTCTGCACGAGACTTCGGTCCTTATCTGTACACTTAACTATCCTTATCATTTTCCAAGACTATTATTTTTCCGCTGAGCTATTCATAATGAAAAATAATCAGTGAGAGTTTTCTTCTAATAGCATATTTTTATTTAAGCGTTTCAATACTTTTGTTCGATACCACAACATCTAAGAAAACGGTTTTATTATTAAATAAATTTCAACAATGTTCCTCTTGTTTTATAATTAATCAAATACACAAAAAGTTATAGTGTTGTTAATTAGAGTTTCATAAATCTGATTCAAAGGAACTTAACTTATGTATACGTGCTTATGTAAATAATAATTATAAGTAACTGAATTAAATAAAATAATTATAATAGTTATATGTAATTTGAAGGTTAATTAACATACATTATATACATTACTCTATTATCTACTTGATATAATAAATATCTTTAGATTTCTATGTTTTCCTTCAGCATTTTGATTAACCAATAATTTTACTTCCACATTTTTTATCACACTTCAGATCCCTTAAAAAACATTTCTTTCCGCATATTTAAGCAAAATAATAAATTCAAATTTGATTTACTCAATGAATGGAAAATTAAAAATGGTTTTAATGAAATACTAATCTAACCAAAGACTAAAATAGAACACAAATAGGCCCCGACAATAGGTTTATGTTTAACTGCTGGGTAAAAGATAAATTAATGCAAAACGATGCTGTAATATTTAGCGCGTAACTGCATTGCGCGCACGGCGCACCAGGAAGCAACCTTGGCGTTGCGACTGAGCTGCTCTTGAACTTGCCCTTTGCGCGAGCGCACGTTGAGCGCATCATCGCTCATTTAATATTTAAATTTATATTTATTTCATTATTTTTAGAAAATTATCATTATGCACATTTTCATACTTATTTCATTTAGTAACTCAATTGTACGTTATATTTATTTTTACATTTTATAAGTAACTATTGTTTAGTTTCTATGGATTTGGAGATTTATTTTTCAATAATTTGCAAAACCTGTTTATGGTTTATACAATTTAAGTTACTGGCCAATTTTAGCTTTAGAAAGTGGGGAATTATTTTGTAATAATATTACATTGTCCATTAATAAGATCTCACTGTACTGACTTATATGCCGACTGAGAATACTTTAGTTTGATTATAATTATTTTAAAATTAATAGTTAATAAATTATGTAATATAGCTCTGAGCAACGGGAAACTAACCTTGTGGTCTAATAATAATGTATACGTCGCTGTTTCTACTACAAATAGATGCAAGTTTTGGCTACATACCTTATATAAGAGAAGTATTGGAGATTTAATTTTTGCGAGTTTAGGTAATTTACTAGCAGTTCACTTTTTGGCTTTGGTGTTAAAACAAAGGAACGCAATGTTGTTTCAGGCATTCTTTAAAAATACATAAAAGTATTATCTAAAAGCAGTTTATTTACGAATCACTTTTAGGCTCACCGTGTAAAATAATCAAAGGATTTTGCTATTATAAAAATAACACAACGCACAACACTCACTATGATTTATAATAATACTTACAAAAAATCTCATTGTTTAAGATGTCTTCCTAAAACTAGAGTTTATGTCCGCGTTATGAAAAACGTCTTTGGTAAAGAATTAATAGGTTTTGAATGTATAACGGTGTCGAGGGACTTGATATACTCCAGGAGTATACGTAGCGTTAATAAGGGTACTATGGGCCGTAGCCAGCGCGCCGCTCTCATGTCGGCTCGCCGGCTACCACTGACGCGGGCAAAGCGGCACAGCTACGCACAGCTAGGTGCTCACAAGCGCCGGCGGGCTGCGAGAGGGCTCACGGCCCACGGGGCGCATTATGCAATACCGGCGACCTGCCCCACGTCTAGCCACGGAGCGCGTCGCACTAACCCGACTCGCTACGCCGACCGACCTAGATGCACTTTTACAGCGAGAATGCAATCGACACACATATTCGCGTCTCGTTCCGATAAACGCATCGACGATGAAAGCGGCTCGTGATGGAGAATGCGGACGAATTTGATGGCGAGTGCAGTGTCGTCACGTTCGCGCCTAGTGTTCTCCAATTAGAGAAGAGCGGGACGGTGCGGCGCAGTGCGGCCGCGCGCTGCATTCAAGTTCATTGCTGTTGGAGTGCCCGGCGCCCTGACCGTGCTCCCGAAACCGCGTGCTGCGCGCTACTGCTGACGTAATACCAAGAAGCAACCACCGGATGCCGCGAAAATCTCACTATGCACGTGAATGATAGTCCTCGAAGGTATTTACACAAAATCTATGAAACATACGTCGTGAAATAATTCTGGTTTAACCAGTGTTCACTAAGAAAGTGTAATAAACAGAAAATAGTTAACACGGCGTGTAGCGAGTAGCGTGCAACGGTAGCGAAAGCCATGGCAGGGCGGGCGGGCGCCGCAAACCACCCCGGAACAAGCTTTCACTATCACGGGTCGTCGACACAGCCTACATACCCTTACTCGTGCACCACGACTGCAATCCAGTATACTGCATAATCCCTCCCTCGTTTCCCCGTAGTATGGTAGCGCTGAGTCGATTTTAATGGAGACTTTTCGTAGTAAGGGACGGCCGTTGCATTGCCTCCCGTGGATGGTACTTGCCAACACCCACCACCTTCTATTACACAATATTGATTTCACTATTTATGGCTATTAATCGGTTGTCCGATTTTATTTAACAAACTATTTATAATGTCTCTCATCTCCAGTCTTAGTAATACAGTGAATTAGTATTTCCGGGTTAGATTTAAGAGTTACCATGTGTTATTTTGCATTTAATAAAGCTAATATAAACATTAATTTTTAATCATAGGTTCATATATTTTTTCAATTATACTAAAAGCTAGACAGTCAAAATTATCGTAATTGGTTACTTTTTTTGGAAAGCCGTAATGCATCCATAGAAGTTCGCTTTTTATTTACTATTTTTACAATCAAACATATAACATCTACTTAATAGCGTAATACCTTTATTATCCAAAAATATTACACAATGAAATGCAATGCTAACCCTATTATGGCAGTCCTGACCTGCCCTAACGTCTGCTCTTTTTCTAACGACCCTTTTCAGTTTCTTCAAGGAGTTCTAATAACATTGTATTTTTTATTTGATATTTATTTTCCTCTTATTACATTTATATTTACGGGTTACGTTACCTATAAAGTATAGATGGTTTTTTATGTAATATTTTATAATAACAACAATTATTTGTTGGTCAACATGTTATCGTAACCTTTAGCATGCTTCTTTAATTCAAAGATTTATGATAAATTGACTACATATATGTATGATTTTTTTTCGAACCAAACCCAAATGTTTGTAAAAAAATCAACTAAGACAAACTAATATGAATACGTCACGTTATTTGCCGGTCAATTAGAGCGTGAAAAGCGAAGCGCAAAGAAAATGCAGTTTTCCAACATTTGAGGCTTGAGCGGTATCAAAACACTGAATCTTCCGGGGTGAACGGCCTGAGCCTCGTCCCACTAGCCCCCGCCGCCCGGCGTCACTTGGCGTCTCGCTCCAGCCCTGGGCACGCGAATAAATTCGTCTGTGTGTGAGAGAAAATGCGTCTGCTGTGCGAGTATTCGGCACCGAGGTCGATGACATGACTTTTCTGCAGGCCTTTTATCTAAATATTATTTTAAAGTAAAAGCCTAATTGAGTATTTAATTGGTGAAGGGAGTGAATGTTTACAACTTTTTACAGAACAGATTACGACGTTTTAATTAAAACTAGCATAAACGATTTAATATTAGAATTAGGACCAATAAAACTAATCGAAAACTTAATCGAGATTAAAGGAATAAATTTATTTTACACATGACTCATAAATATTGATGGAACTTTTAAATAACGGATTTGCCAACTTGAAATATTCAGAAATGTATGTAATTTATTGAAAAGCGTTTATCGATCTCGACAGAGCATGGTGTGGCTATGTCTGTGGAAGTGTTGCTTGTGCAAACTCGATTCCCCCCTTCTTGGGGTAGGCTTCAATACTCATTCATGCATTTTTCCTGCTCTAGCCGCGTTGTAGGCGCATAATTCGCTCCCTCTCGTTACGTTTCCGTGTTGTGGTACGCGCATGCACTAGACCTAGCCCAATGCAGCGAATTTTGCGTAAGGTCATTGTCCCCTCTTGCTTATATCGTCTGAAAGCTCTTATAAAACAAAGATGTTTTAAAGCAATAGAAATTTTAATTGCTTTATGACCCTTCTCACTTTTCGCGCGAAATGTGCAATTTTCTATTGTATTGTCGGCAAACAAGTTACGGTTTCGAAATAATGACAGACAAAACGAAACAAGGGTTCGTTTGTTTAACGAAGTCTTTTGATTTTTTGCCAAAAAGTGCCGTTTGCACAAATTGCATTTTTTAGTTGCAAATAAAAACGTCCTCTTTTTAACGTTCACACAAAATACGGCAACAATGCAACAAAGACAGACGAGAGGGCTTATGTAAAAAACAGTCGTACAAATTGTTTATTAAGTTCCTGGAAGTTCGGTAATTAACTTAAACGATTATTGCGCAAAACGGCATAGCTTTAACGTTATACGCATAGGAAAAACCATGTTCATTTGTTTATACTTTAAATTTATTTGTAACCGATTGAATAATATGAATAATTACTATGAACATCGCTTCACATTTGTAATAATATTCTTTAAGTAGATTCTAAATACAGTTAACTTAGGTGCTAAATCAGCCATAGAGGTGCGAAGTTCTAGTCTAGAATGTTAGGCTAGGGTCAAAAGCCGCGTAGTATGTCATCGTTTAGTATTCCGTGAGCCCCGAGCCCGGCCGGATAACGGGACCTAGCACCGGCCTTACTTTCATCGATCGAGCTAACCACGGTTTACTTTCCATTGTTACTTATATTTAACACTTAAATAACACTCGTTTGTTACATATTTTTAGAGTAACGACGTTCACATAAATCTTGACTTTGATTTGGATGTTTTTAAGTAACTAGACGTTTTAAAAGTCAGAAAAACTTGAGCCCATAAAGCAATTATTTGCTTCACATCTCCGGTTTATGACATCCATTAAAAATCCGAAATTTATGACAATGCGGGTTCATAATTATCTATGGTTAGCAAAAAGCTTCGAAGCAAGTGTTTGCCGCGGGCAGGTAGAGCTTTTAAGCCGGATAATAACAGAAGAGCCTTTGTTGGTTTACCGTTAGAATTTTAGAAGAATTAAATCTGTGAAAGAAATCGATAGATTGTGGTAAAGTATAAAGTTACTTTCAACAGCCTTCTTAGCTAACATGTTCGGGCGGAAGTTTGAACTTTAAATTCGAAATTAGAACGGCATTAAAAGACATAATTTTTGTGAGATTTTTTTGTTTATTTCTAGTTTGTTTTGGCGGAAACATCTCACGAAATTTATAGTTAAATAAAATTGCATTTAACAAATTACTGTAACATTTTATAAACAGGAAAAGAGTTCACGCATAACTTGCTAAATGGTAGATATGAGCACGTCTCAATGTAACTGTGCTGTGAATCATACTAGCAAATAGGCTTACAACCGAGACGCAACAGTCATACGAAATTACCTTATTGCACAGAATTTTGCATCTATAGGAATTGAGTTATTTTTAAATTGTAGGAGATCACAATTAGATTCAAAAATGGTTTTTCACGTCAAGTACAACTACTACGTTTCTATAACTAAGCTTATGTGTCTCCCGCAATATTATGGGTATGTGAAACCCACCACCATAAACCTCGTGCTACTAAGCTGGGTGAGATATACCCACTAAAACCTGGGATAGTTTTTGCACTGATCCGTTTCAAATTTAATAATTTTTATAAGAATACTTTGACATTAACTTACTTTTCAGTGTGAGTACAAAATAGCGTTAAACACATACACATGTAGGAATTCGTTCCCACAGGTACCTGTAGGAGTCTATCAAATGGATTTTTTGTTGGCTCCTAAGGGATTTCATACGGTACCCATAGGCTACCGTTAGGTGATTTCCAAAAAAATAAATTAAGAGGGTGAATTGAACGTTTAATGTATTTCCTATTTATATTTGGAATGTTTGTATTACAAAAACTTTGATTCTTTAAAAACGAACAAGTAGAATGCATCACAGGAAAGTGTCTAAAAAATAAAAAATCTTATGTGATTTTTCATGTCACCCATCCGTGGACTCATAAAGCTGTCAAGTCATAGTTATTATATAGTAGGTACACTTAAAACGTTGCCAAAACAACGCCTTCATTATATATTCAAAGCATATTCTTTTTTATTAAAAACATGGCATCTATTGTGATAACACCACAAATTATGGCACGTGTATTCATTCATTGAATAAAATGTCAACTGAAGTCATCGTCGCCTCTGTCTTGACACGGTTCGAAGGCTCTCAGTGTAGATGCCCTCTAAAGTATTTCCCTCTTGCATAATGCTATAATTATCTGAATAAATGAATATATCTCGCGTTAAAATGATAATTGTCCAGTTAATATGATACCGGAACAATCGTTACATTGACTCTAGGTCTTTCTTTTTAATACTATATCATACAATTGTATTGCTAGCTACAGATCTTAGCTATAAAAACGTTTGAGTGCCAAGCGCAATAAATAGTCGATATCTGTTGTCATCTAGCGACTTTTTTCATTCATAAGCATTTAAAAACTTAAAGGTACTAATAAATGAGTATTAAGTGACAATAAACTGTATCATATTCTTTAGCAACAAAACCGGGAATCAAATTTAAAATTTAAAAAAAGTCGTAACGTTTATTATGTACATATGAGAAATGTGTACACACATACTAAGTATACAGGCAGGTTCGAACTCGCCCTGTGAGAAGAACAAACTCAACCGGGTTTTATTTTTAACTAACATCAAAAGCCCGAAGGAAGACGTTAACTCAAAAGGTGTTTGAAGCTTTAGCAATTATATAACTAACGTATTGCTAACCTACCTAGAGCTTATGTAGGTAATAAATAAATACGAAATAGT